TACAAACAGATTCATTTATAGTCAGCTGTAAAACTGTGATATCTCACTTCATCATCATCATCATCATCATCAGTCTGATTGATCTAACCGGTATTAGTTGCAGAGCTGAGCTTTGTACCTGACAGAAAGTCCTGCAGCCGTCAACGATTGGTCGATATCCAGTACACCGACACAGATTACCTGAAAAACAACAGCACACGATGAGGAGAGGGCTGGGTACATATCACATATCACATCATGCTTAAAAATAAATTCACGTAAGAATAATAATTATAAAATAACTTTTAGAGGTGACAGGAGGTCAGAGAGTGAACACTTTTCACATTTACGGCACCATATACATCTCTTAGTTCTTGTTGTAACATTCTTTTAAACATTACAGTGGATGAACACACAAACCAGCCAGAGCCTGAGTGATGTCCTCCATGGTGGGATGGGGCTTGTTCCTCAGCAGAGCGTACATGGACATCACCATCCCTGGAGTGCAGAAGCCACACTGGGAGCCGTGAGCCTTCGCTATTCGCTCCTACAAACACAGCATCCACAGTTTAGAGTCCCATGAAAACTGCTCTGGAAACAATGTTTTTGCATTAAACAGGACATTTGGTTGGGGGTTGTACATCTGAAGGCGTGTAAAGGCAACTTCAAGCTGATTATTCCAGGATAAAAGTTCTCATTCGATGCGTCCACGATCACATTTTATTGGATGGATCTGCTACATGTACACAGCTCGGTGCAGAGTGTGTCAGATAAAATCATATTTATACTTTATATTGTTATTTTGATGGAAAAATATGTAAAATTAAATGCATAAATCTGGCAAATAATGACAAATAGTACTCTGAGAAATGTACTAATATTAAATTTCCTTTTATATGTTTTTTTAAACAGGTGAGACATGTAAGGCGTCCCAGCACTGACCTGCACAGGGTGGATCCTCGTCTTGGTGCTGCCGATGCCCTCCACCGTGGTGACGGCGGCTCCGTGAAGCTGGCAGAGCGGCAGGAGGCAGGCGTTGGCTGAGTAATGTCTGATGGTGTGGTGAAGGTAAACTCGTGGATCTGACAACATTTCATATTGCACGAGCAGCACTGGAACTACAGCTGCTAAAACTCCTCTTACTGTTACTAGTGATGCTATGGAACAATGCGGTGTTGGTTTGGTGCCAGGAAAGGAAATTACCATCAGCCACCACAGAGATTCTGTTGATTCTTAGCCGTGGATGTCTAAACCACTTTGGCTGATAACCAAGGTCACATTCAGACTCTCTCTTGTTCTCTAAAAAAATCTAATTTAGTTCATAAAATGGGGACAGTGTTTGGTATTCTGGAAAGTAACCAACCATGTTCATGGCTGAACAAATGGATTTTCCGGTGGATGTTGCACCCAAATACCGACACTGGTGGCAATCGTGTCTCAGTGAGGAAGGAAACCTCAAACCTTTGTTATTTTTGTACAACTAACTCAAACACTCAGTAAACATAGATATGGCACAGTTTGACTGCAGCTTTAATCAGAAACACTACTATTATAAACTCTGATTTAAATTAAGATTTTATTGCCAGTCAGGGTCCAAAGTTAACATCTGCTAAGCGCCAAATGTGGGTACATTTTGGATTTGGCAGAAAACTGGTGGCTGTTGCTATAATTTGGAATCACAGCATAGGGCCAGGTTCACATCCCCCACCCACGTCTGTCTCTGTTTTTGCCATAAGAAACATCCAAGTTACATGTTATCAGAGATGAGCCGACACATTCCCGGTGTTAAGCCACCAAAAAGGAAACATGAAGACAAAGAGAAAAGTCACGAGAGGCGGAGGACCCAAGATTGTAGCTTTCATAAATAAAAATAAACACTTTATGGTGTGGTGTTTATGTGTTTTGTGGAGCAGCAGGGTCGTGTGGTTCTTCTTAAAAGGATACATGATGGTTTTGGTGGCGGGTTGGTAGCGCGACACCATGACAGTGCACGCCCCGCAGCCTCCACCGCCACAGCCATACTTGGTTCCAGTCAACCTCACTGAAGTCACAGTCAAGGACATAAGCAGCTTTGGGCGTTGAAGCCTGTAGGTGGCGCTCACATCGACATTCAATCAGTTTAAAATGAAAAAAAAAACATATTTGTGAAGGCGAATTTGAAGCTGATGTGAAGGATACGCTTCTCTCTGAGGAAGGACAACAGCATGGTTTCAGGGTCTGCATGGTCCTCTCGTACCTGTTTCCACAGAAAGAGAACATTTTCATGACTTTCAATAATTATTTATTATTTCCAAGCTTGTTCAGTTGTGGAAAGTAATAAAGTGCATCCACTCAAGTAGAAAACTATTCGATGCATCTATAGAACTCAAGTTTCAAGGCTATTTTATTTCAGTTTTTTAATCCTCACATTATTCTGAGTCAATCAATCAAAATACTAATATTATTGTGAGTTTACAGCTACATGACTTCACTGTCTACCAGGGTTTGTATGATTTTCAGTGCTATCTCTGTACTACCATTTAAACTTCTGCTTCATTTTCTTTCTCTGAAAACATATAATGTGTCATAACATATTAAAAATGTTATAAAGTTGGTTACATGCTGTATTTTTTTCAGTGTTTTGTTATTTGATTAACCCAATTTTGCCCTTTTCTGGGGACACAGATTCAAACCAGACCACTACTGGTTACATTCCTATAAATACATTATATATATATATACATTATATATTAAAATTATAAATCAGCTTTGTGGGATTTTGAGTAAATTAGATTATAAAGTGATAATCTTGGTAAAACGCTGCACAATTATAAAACCTGAATGCATGTAAGATGTGTAAAAAAAAACCTGTGGTATTATATAGTGAAACAGTCAGTATATACATATTAAATTCACTATTTTAATTGCCCCTGACACATTTTAAGGGTTATATTTAATCGGTGAAGACGTTTTGTAAACACAGATTTGTGGCCAGCGACAAAAAAAACAAACTTAGCAGCTAACAGCTAACCCTCGTTAAAACACGACAAAATCGTTTAGGACGTAATTAAAACGTTAAATTTACCTTTTTCCCGTTGATAAAGAAGCACAACATATCTTTCTCTTTCCCTGTAGACATAGTTTAAAGTCCAAGACAAGAGTTTCTCAGCACGAAAGGTCAAGTCAGTTTGACTCCACAGGGCTTCCGCTTGTCTGGACTTTCAAAATAAAAGCTTGGAAAACGTTGCCGACCACGGGTTGAACTTTCCAGCGTAAAAGTCCAGAAATATGCAGAAGTACATTAATTTATTTACTTACTTTCTTTTTTTAGTAAATAAATATGTTATTTTTTTTATCTCTCTAGTTGATTTTATTTGTTTTTTTGATTTTGTATTGTCTTATTAATCTATTTTATGTAGCTTCAAGTATAGCTTTTATTCAGTGCTGTTTATTATTATACCTGTTAAATCAGTTTTATTGACATTTTTATCTTTGTGTTGTATTTAAACATTTATTTTTAATTCTTTCTATTATGGTCCACGCTCATTTTGTCTTATTACCGACCTATGGAGCACTTTGAACTGCACCAACCTGCATTAAAGGTGCTATAGAGATGAAGTTTAAGTGATATTCATGTATTGATTGATGATTGTAAATCAGTAAAATTGCTAAATTGCATATTTTTTGGGGGTTTGAATACACAGTTAACATGTGTATAACATCATCACTATCAAATATACATCTAAGCACACTGTTTACTACACCTTACATGCACATATACTGTTCTTAATCATCTACCTTATGTATATAAAGAAGCCTATTATATTAATCTTTTGGTGACCTTTTGTACAGATTTATTAATTACTGTTAAAAGTAAAAACATGATGCTTTTATTTAAAACGCAACATCAGCTGATTTCCTGTCCCACACTGCTGCCTCTATCGGACTTGATAAACCTCATTTGCTTGTGCAGAACTAGAGACCGCCCATCTTCCACCTTATGTGACCTGTGAAACTTAAACATAACCTACATTTTAAACGAGGTTTCAGGGACTCAGAGAGCTGAATCATAACTGAAGGATGTCAATATTGTTCAGGGGCCATAAGTGGATGCAACTAATTCAATTGGCTGCAATTCTACTTGACTTTTGTGTGTTAAAATGAAAGAAATAATAAAAATAAAAAAAAACACAAACATGTCTGCTTTCCTCTGCAGCCTGTTATATAACAAGACACATTTTATAATCATTAACCAGAACTCTGTGTCAGCTCTATTGAGTTCAGTCTGTTTTTACTGGCGAATCTCCACATATAAGACATAATAAACACACAGTATCAGCCAACAAGCATTGCATTTATATAAGAATATAAAATTAGATTGGGATTAATGCTTCAAAATGTAGAAATAAGTATTTTAAAGCCATGTATGCTTTAAAAAAAGTGATAATGATCAAATCACCCTGACAGACAGAGACTGCATGATATGAGTCGTACCACAAGAGGGAGCCAAAGGAGAGGACGACACCAGAAAAACAAAACACTTTTTCAATAATAATCAAGGGGAAATTGTCTTATAATGAACTTATTTTACACAGAAAGATCACAGTTAGTTTGAAGCAGTTTACCAAACACTACAAGGGCCCCACCAGGGATTTTGGGCCCCATGAAAAGACACCAAACCTCCAGAACCCAGTTCTCTACTAGTTACTGGGGAAAGTAATGTTATGACTGTAATATTATTACTAGTATTGCCTTAATGCCCACTTAATCATAACTAATTATATTAGATTTATTTTGCATGAATAATCAAAATCTGCAACTGGAAGTAGAAAGTACTTTTACTTGTAATGGAGTATTTTTATGTTGTGGTAAAGGACAAACTCATCCAATTGTTCCTGCAGCCCTCAAATTGAAGTCGAAAAATAAGATTTAAAGCTGTGTAATGATAAGGTTTATTATATATATACTATAAGCCCCCTCTGTGAAAGCCTGAGCGCAGCCCCTGTGATATCTCAGTATGACTTTATACTGGGAGGCTGAGACCCAGATCCAGGTTGAAGACGAGCAGGACGGGACTGTTTTTTGGAGATGAACGATGGGAAAACAAAGGCTGAACGCCATTAAGACAACCTGAGCTCGATCTTAAGGAAACCTGTTGTTGTTTTTTTGTGGTTTTCAAATGGAGCAGAAAGCAGATTTTAGGCGGACTTCAGCGCTTTACTGCTGCTGGATCCTCATCAACTCCGGTGAGTGAAGGAATAATACATATAATATTCCGAACAGCTTCTATATAATATTCCTTACCTTTATCCCATTTATACTTTATATAATATTAGTTAATGGTATTTTCACATAGAAACTGTCTGTGTGGTGCGTTTTTGGTACTTGAAGGCAACTCCTTTAACACTCTTATAGTCACATTTTTGCCTTTTTATTCTGTTTTTATGAAATAATTGAAGAGAAATGTTTAATATGTTCTTAATATTTATATAAGGATGGTGCCATTTTAATTGTGGTTTTATATTTAGTCCTAATATTACAATATAATTACAATATTATTCCTCCTAGGAGTATAAAGTCAGGCAAAAGTTTATAGTGTTCGTATAATGAGTTATTTTACCACCTGATATTGGTTTTGTAGTGTTTATTTAATATTTAGGACTTACTGATCCTCCTGTGGTATCATACAAGCACATAAAGGCGTTTTTTAGACTCTAATAACAATATTATCCATATTCTTGCAGTGTCCATTAAAAAAAAAAAAAAAAGTACCACACTTGAGCAATTTCACCAAAATAGAGGACGCACATTTAATTCAACATCTCACCTGGATTTATAAAGACAAAAAAACATGCAAAAACAACATACAAACATAGATATTTTATACTGACGTGACTAGGAAGAGCCACCATTGATTACTGAGCCTCAATCAGATATCAGTGACTTTCCATGTATGAAGTATTTCCAAGAAAACAAGCACAATTTCATGTGAGTGCTGATTCAAATGTCATGTTCTGCTGATATATAGAAAGAAACAAACTATATTGCAGGGTAGATGTGACAGAACAAGGTGTTTATTTGGGGGTCTCAGTGCTGAATCCTGGGACACAAACTGCAGCGTAATCCTACAACATGTTATCTGTCTCTCCTCCACTGGCAGAGCCTCACCTGAAACATCATTTGGTCGGTTATAAATAGCCAATACAATCAGAAAAAAACCCAGCGTTACACACATTTGCACAGTTTTTTGCTCTTGGCACGCTGTTTATTGCACTGGCTAATCCTAAATTGCTTGCTGGTGATGCCAGATTGCTTGCCAGGGTTCAAAGCTGTGTTTTCAGAGAGAGAGAGACAGAGAGAGACAGAGAGAGAGAGAGAGAGGAGGGAAGGAGGTATCTCTGGGTTCCTGGAGTGATCATTTAACCTGAAAGACAAATCAAATCCGACACAAAAGGTTGAATGCTGGGAATTAAAGAGGTTTATTTCGAGCATGAAATTATGACCCCGATGAGTGATGACTGCTGGGAGAAAGAAAAAAAACTTGGCTAAGTGTTGCTTTTTGTTGAGTTCAATTATCTCGAATGATTTTGCTGTGTAACATAAAATTAAATCAAAGTGCAGTAGATCACAGTCGGAGATTTTATGAACAATAAAGTTCAGGTAATTGTCTTTTTTTCCCCAGAGAGAGAGGATACAGTATTTCTCTCACTGTCTCAGCTGTAAAGGCTTCAGCAGAAATAAGGGAATATAAGAGCGTGAAGGAGAAGTTAAAAGAAAACTTTCTTATCATGGGGTTATGAGTTCTTACTAAAGGCTTTATTAATGGTAAATAAATCATTTAGTAATGCTTTAGAACAACTTAGCATAAAGACTGGAAACAGGGGGAAACAGCTCGCCTGGCTCCGCCTGAAGGTCACAAAATCTGCCTATCATCTCCTCTAAAGCTCACTAATTAACACGTTATAGCTTGTTTTATGCACACATTTATTTAAAGACACTAAATATATCACTGCAGGGGTTAAATAATGTAACAGATTATTATATATAAAAGTAAATAACAAACAAAAAGACTCTTTTAAAAACATTCTGACTACTTCTGGAGGACATTTTACTGTAAAAACGTGGCCTTTAAATACAAATACAGTACAGTGAACAATATAATTCACTCAGTCTCACCTATATCTCATAAATTATAAGCACTTAATATAATAATTCATAATGTCTGCAGTATCAAAGGGATCTGATCTATAGAGCATGACTAAAACATTTGTTATTATTGAGTTTAATCTCCCTTTTTAAGACAACATGATAATTAAGACCCTAAAAAAAGAAATCTAAATGCAATCAGCCCCTCTCTGTCTCTCCGTCAGTGCTGGCTGAAGACTGGACTCGCGTTCACACTGAGGACGAGCTCTTCAGGAGCTTGTTCGGGGGCTACAGCAAGTGGACGCGTCCGGCACGAAACATCACCGACGTGGTCATCGTCAAGTTTGGCCTCTCTATCGCACAGCTGATAGACGTGGTGGGAACACACACACACACACACACACACACACACACACACACACACACACACACATTTGTAGATCCAAAAAAAACTGACCAGGGTGCTTCATAATTTTAAATATTTACCCCCTGTGGAGCATTAATGCCACATTATGAGAATAAAGTTGTAATATTTTGTTCAAAAAGTTGTCATTTTACGAGAATAAAGTTGTCATTTTGGATGATAAAAGTCTACAACCATGTCTTGTGAAAGGACCAGTGTGTAGTGGCATCTAGTGGTGAGGCTGCAGATTGCAACCAACTGAATACCCCTCCCTGCCTTACTAATTATGTAGGTCAAAATACAAAAGGTGCAATCTTGAGCCAGTGTTTGGTTTGTCTGCTCTGGGCTACTGTATGGCGGCTCCTTATAGGAAGAGCTCATTCTGACATAAAACACAACGATTCTTAGTATCAGGTGATTGTACACTAATGAAAACATAATTCTGAATATTTCTACCAATAGATTCTCCTTAATCCTACACACTGGTCCTTTAATACCCCCTCAACCCGACTGTATCTCCCACTCTCTCCCACTCTCACTCTCACGGAGCGTTTTTGTCCATTTTTGGCTCCAAAACAGGATGAGAAAAACCAGATGATGACAACCAACGTGTGGCTGAAACAGGTGCGGAAGAAAACTGACCTGTACAGTAATCGTAAAGCGGTTTAAACAAGAGTTTTGTCTTTAAAAATGTGCATGTGTCTGCAGGAATGGACTGACTACAAGCTGCAGTGGAGTCCCTCCGACTTCGACAACGTGACGTCCATCAGAGTTCCTTCTGAGCTCATCTGGGTGCCGGACATTGTGCTGTACAACAAGTAAAAAACATACACAGTGTCACATTTAACACCAAACTACTGCAGTTTGCCTCAGTTGCACAAATCCTCCTTATTATTACAATCACATGCAAAGATATTTCTTTTAATAGAAGTTTAAGGAAGCACTTCAACATGTGATTAAATGTTGTTTTGATGTTAAGAGAGTTTTGTGTGATAATTAACTAAACTTTAAAACCAAACCAGCTAAAATAAGTTAAGTTTTAAGTTTTATTTCTAGTTCAAGTCTTGTTTCTTGACACCTGAAACGCTGAGTAAAAGGTTTAGCACACACACACACACACACACACATCCAAGGACACTCATACTGTACCGGAACAGACATAACTTTGAATTTTCTGTAGGCGGAGCTGGAAATTATCTGTAGTGATCAATTACCCACTTGATCCATAACAATGTGCTCATCGGCTGAAGAACGTGAGAGGAGGTAAAGGTCACTTACATGGAGCCTCGACGATAGCACAGATTTTCTGCATATTCCTGCATACTGATTGGTAACACATGCAAATGATCCTGATGAATAAATGACCCTGATTCTATTGCGGCTGTATGGAGATCTTGCATCACACAGCTTCAGTCTGGTTTTCTCCCCTTGAGGGGCCTGAGGAAGTATTAATTCTGAAATTTGTCTGGATGGAGACGAAACTTTCTCCTCCTTCAGCATTTGTGTAAATGAGCTTGCATCATGAATACAGAGTCGTTAACATCCAGTGATCAATTATTAATCATCGCCTGCGTAAACTGGGAAGAGCTTGAGGTTTATTGATTCACCTTTTGAGTTTGAGGCGGAAACTTGGGAGCCAAAAACAAAAAATTGTTCCTTTTAGTCCAGATAATACCATAATAATAGGTTTCCTGCCTCAATGCTATGCTTCAACCCCTCATCCTCTCCTTTCTCCAGTGCAGACGGAGAGTTCGCCGTCACCCACATGACCAAGGCCCATGTGTTTCACACCGGTCGTGTCCGTTGGGTGCCCCCGGCCATCTACAAGTCCTCCTGCTCCATCGACGTCACCTTCTTCCCTTTCGACCAGCAGAGCTGCAAGATGAAGTTCGGCTCCTGGACGTACGACCGCGCCAAGATTGACCTGGAGCCCTTTGAGAACACAGTGGACTTGAAGGTGGAGGAATTTTTTGTTCTCCTCCATCCTTTCAGTCTTTCGTTTTTTGATTTTGAGTGTGTGCCAGTTTGTGCCAATTAATGCCCGCTCCGCCTCTTTACCTCGTCTTATCTACGGTTCACACATGCTCTTTCCCAAGGTTTTGTTTTGCAGGAGGATGCCAGCTGAACGTTCTGGCTGCTTACTTTTTAATTAACAGAATATTTCTCAGTGTGTTTTTGCATTTCAGCATTAAGTTCTGCTGAAAACAAAATGCACGGATTAGTTTTTTGAGATCTAAATGCTTAATCCTGGAGAGATTTCTTAGGTTTAAAATGCTGAGGGTTTTATAATGGTCTTTCAAAGCAGAGGAGTTAAATACAAGTTAGCCTGATGAAGCAGTTTTTAGCAACACACATACAGGCAACTTCAAGATGTAAACTTAATTTACATTTCTACTCTTCTGCACTGAAAACTACAGAAACTTTTCACTTATTCAATGAATATCTTGACATGTACCAGAAGGATTGGCACAGAATCTGGTGCAGGCATCCATTATTCCCAGAGTATGAATCCTGCTGACTTTAGTGATCCTCTGAATTATCCTCTAGTGCCACCAGAGTGTAAGAGAAAGAGTAATTTATACATAAACGTAAGAACTATACACTCCAACTCCAGGGTTAGAAATGTCAGATGGCTGCTGTAAAAAAGGTCTATAGTTGTTGAGATATTTAAGTCTGGACCCAAAGTTCCTAAAAGCACACTGGCTAAAAACAAATCTCCTTTCTAGGATTACTGGGAGAGCGGAGAGTGGGCAATTGTCAACGCCGTGGGCACCTACAACACCAAGAAGTACGACTGCTGCCACGAGATCTACCCCGACATCACCTACTATTTTGTCATCCGCCGCCTCCCGTTGTTCTACACCATCAACCTCATCATCCCCTGCCTCCTCATCTCCTTCCTCACCGTCCTGGTCTTCTACCTCCCGTCGGACTGCGGGGAGAAAATCACACTGTGCATCTCCGTGCTGCTGTCTCTCACCGTCTTCCTGCTGCTCATCACAGAGATCATCCCTTCCACGTCGCTGGTCATACCGCTGATCGGGGAGTACTTGCTCTTCACTATGATCTTCGTCACGCTGTCCATCGTCATCACCGTGTTTGTGCTGAACGTGCACCACCGGTCGTCAGCGACTCACACCATGCCTCGGTGGGTGCGGAGGTTTTTCCTCTCTGCGGTGCCAGGCTGGCTGTGCATGAAGCGTCCAGACCATGGTCTCAGGCCTGTGAGGTGAGAAACCAGAAGGCCTCCATGTTTGTCTGAAACAAGTCCCTCATTCACTTGTCCTCTACTTCCTGTATGATGGACAGTAGTTCCTGTAGTGAACAGTGAACTGCATCATTTTACATAATCCCTGACAGGTGTAGTGTGGCACGGCTGTACCTTTGTCAATATATCACACACTATATATGAGTTTTTCCTTATTTTTATTCTCTAAAAGACAAAAGCAGTGTTTGGTTATTCCATTTTGTCTTTGCAAACACACTTTTGTTGTCTACATGTTAAAAACGTGACCACTTACAGAAACTATCAATTACTGACAACTGGCATTGGATGTCTGATCAGATAGCTACGGATTTATACCTGCAAACAGTTGCATATTTAATTCCAGCATTATTTAAGTGACTTTATTATTCATTTGGAGTCAAATATTCACTCTTTATTAGCTCTGTTTTTGATCTCTACCAACTCCTGGGGGAAACATCTGGCTGTTCACAAGCTAGTTGCTAACTGTGTCTGTCTATTTGGTGCTGGGTAGTTAGTGTGCAGTGGGGTTTCAGAGCTTTAAAACTCTGAAGACTGAGCTAATGATCCCAGGATTTATTGTTAAGGCAGGGGAATGGGGAAGGCAGGCCTGTGAAGAGCCTGGGTTCAGGGAAGAAAAGCAGGGCTGACGAAATGTGGGGACATGGGACCGGAGACAGAGCAGACGGTACTGCAGGGAACAGGAGACATGGTTGAAGCAAAGGGGGAACAAAAACAGGCAACAAGATGAAAACTGAGAATGCATGAACACTTGCTCGGAGGGTAAAGTGGCTAGTTCAGCGATCCAGTGGAGATTCTGAAAGTCTCCGGAGTTTTAAAACTGAAACGGGGCCAGCAGCCTTTCCAAACGTCTCCATTTTAGGGGGCTCCAAAACGCCGACGTAGTGTGGACGAAACTTTTTAAAACTCAATGTAAGTAGTGTGGATGTAGTATTAGTATAGTATATTGATCAATTTTTAATTAAAAATACTGATTTATAGCAGCTTTATGTCCAAACCTTGCCACCTGTAAACTATTTAATGTAGGAAAAACAGCAGTATTTGAGAACTTTCGCTTCATTTGTTGAATTAAAAATAGCGTTCTTGTATAAAAAACATGCATACATTTCTTTAAATAAGTTAGCTAAATGATCATGTGGGTACTTAAACTCAGGTCACAAGTATTGAAAGATGTCTTTGTTGTCTCAGGCGACGCCACCTGACTGATACACTCCTCCCTCTCCGGACTCCAGGCCCCGCCTACAGCACATCCACCTGGATCACTCAGGAGTCTGACATCGATCTCCACGGTTACCAGGTTGACAACCGTTGCCGCAGCAGCCACCGGCTCGACTCCTCGGATGCCGGAGACGATGAAATTCCCCCCTGGGATCCTCGCGGTTACACCCTCCTCCCACAGAGACACTCCACACTGAGCCTGGACTGGGACGCCCCTGCTGTGGAGCGTGGTTTGATCCAGAGCCAGCTGGTCTCTGTTCTGTCTCCTGCAGTGGTATCAGCCCTGGAGGGGGTGACCTACATCGCAGAGCACCTTAGAGCAGAGGACGCTGACTTCTCAGTGCGTCCTGATCATCCTGTCTAATGAAGCTTCAGCTGATTTACAGACATGCTGGACATTCACAGTCTTCTTTTTGTCTCTTGCGTCTCTACAGGTGAAGGAGGACTGGAAGTATGTCGCCATGGTTGTAGACCGGATCTTCCTGTGGATGTTCATCATCGTGTGTCTGCTGGGGACAATCGGACTCTTCCTGCCGCCGTGGCTCTCCGGGATGTTTTAGAACCAAACTGAACCAAATCAAAAGAGTGAATAAAACGATTAAATTACTAATTAAAAACTAAAACTCACGTCATGACAGCACTTTGTACTGTTAAACAGTAGGCCACAATTAGAGCTGCAACTAACATTTATTTTCATGATCAATTATTCTCCTTTTTTTGCTTGCTCAAGTGAATAATTGATCAAAATTGTCCCTGAATGGGTTTTTATCAATCCACTAAAAGCACAAAATCTCTGAAATGCACAAAAAACCTAATAAAGCTGATTTAGAACTGAACTTCATTCAAACAAGTGGATGAAAGCCTCTTTTGTGTAATTTTGTTCCCTTTCTTATACCCGTATGTGTCCTGTGATTTCAGCAGAATACAGTTTTTTATTTGAGATGAAGACGCCTCTCGTGACATATTTTCGGCTTACAGAACAGTCAGGTGTCAAAGTCAATCAGCCAATATTCACGGAAGAAAACTCGACTGTACTCTTTATAAAATGAGCACTTGGCGACTATAATAATAAGTTAGTAACATGAATTAATGAAGTAATGTTTGCAGAGAGAGAGGGAGGGGAGGAGAGAGGAGCATCATGGGAACTCCCCCGGCAGTCTAGGCCTGTAGCAGCATAATGAAGGGATGAATCGGGGCTCAAAGCTCAAAGAGGAACGTCTTAAGCCTGCTCTTAAAGGTAGAGAGGGCGTCGGCCTCCTGAACCAAAGCTGGAAGCTGGTTGCACAGGAGAGGAGCTCGGTAGTTGAAGGCTAAGGCAATACTCTAGATCCTCTAGATCCTCTAGATCCTCTAGATCCTTGAGATCCACCCCCGATGCCGTCCAATTATCAGTGAAGCAGAGACGATGAGAGAGAACTAATGAGGGAGAAGAAAGAGTCTCTAAATATATAACTATTAAGGTCCTGATTGGCTAATTACACTGAATGAAATTAGCCTTCAGTCATAAGATACTTGGTTCCTCACCATCACGTCTTCTCCATTATCGTCAGCGTGATATATTCAGGCCGTCCATGCAGCTCTTCTCCCCCATTAAAAGTAATTAAAGAATGTTTTAGGGGAAAGCTAATTCTCAATTAACTAATTAAAACATGTCAGAACACGGAGAAGACATAACACGAAATCAGTATTCAGCTAAAAACATTAAAGACACAATACTGCAAGTGTGGATCGGCTACCATATGCTACACAGTATGACTGTATATAGTGATTGTTTTTGTTCTACACTTCTTTTCTGTATGTAGAATATGTATTCTGTGGGATTTCTGTGGTGTTTCTTTTAACCAAATGTGAACAAAGTTGTGTAATTTAAGATGAGCAGGACTCTTTTCTTCTGTTTTAGAGTAAGCTCTCAGTGGCAGTTTTTAAATTTCCCCATGTTGAACTTCAGTACAGCTGCTGTGGATGAATTGAACTCTCATTAAAATGTGATGTTTAGCATCTTTCTGAAAGTTAAAACATATTTTTATCTGACTTTTACTATATTTTATTACTCAGGATAAACAGACCATATTCAAATATTAAAAAGGAAAACAACAAAAAAGGAGAAATTACATAAAAAAATTTGAACGTGTATCTAAAGAGAATTAAATTAAAACCAAAGAGTATCTGTATGACAGCACGAGAGGAAAGTGAGAACATATTTTCTCTGGTGAACCAACCCTTTAAACTATTAAATACGATTCATATTCTTACCAGCAGGGAGCTGCAGTATGAAGCTTAATAAAATGATGGCATCACATTTGGGCCTCTGGAGAAAGACATCACCCACCTCTCATTGTCAGACAGTTGATTTTCATATATTTATTCACAGTATTCTTTCATTTGTTTGTTCTTTAATTAAAATTTTAGTACATTTCAATACCTTATCTGTCTGAGACACAAGGAGAAACATTTCAAATCAATTGCTACAATCAAATATAACAATAATCCTGATAATAATGAACTATAGTTGAAAAGAAGAGGAATTATTAGGCTCACAAATTAGCAACAAAACTTAATAATATGGTATTAATCTCATCCCAGCAGGGTAAACATCCACAAATCCAATTATAGAAGCATTTGTTTTAATTATCATCTCATTTCATCTCGTAAACGTTTGATTATATGGATGTTTAGCCTGTTAACCTGAGAGCTTTGCAACGGTTGTTTTTTAGTTGATTTCATACAAATGCCTAAAAATCTGTACATCATTTGGACATCTGCACAACATGATATGTGCCCAGTAAAGAAATCATCCTGTACAGCCTATATCCCAGAAGCCACCCTCCGCTCCACCCCTGCAAGAAATAGCTCATTTTAGAGCTGCATAACTTCATGTTAGCTAGAACCCTAAAGTCTTCTGATGAACTGCCAACAGGTGTGTAAAATAAAATCCAAAACCCTACACAGACACCCCCCCGTCAACGGTAAACCAGCTTTCCTCTGTTGCCTGACTTTCACACAGCTGATTCAGAGCCACTGATGATCACCTGACCCATCACTGAAGAATAACACGATTCAATCCAACAACTGTCCTCATGAACACGGGGTCGTCATACACATAAAGTCATTGGCCACGCTGCTGTAACTTTTTATTTTTAATCAAGAGTTCCAAAAAACATTAGTGATGGTACAATAAACAGAACACTGAATTATGAGAGGGTTTTTGTAGATGAGCCATCCATCCATTTAACGCCTGCCTTGGTGTCCGTCCCAAAGTGTTAATGTCAGGTTGATTCACATGACCAGACGTCAACTTGATGTGTGGTGGCTACTCTGGGCGTTTGCTGGTTAGATGTATAGACACAGGCGCTGTAGTTTTCTGAAAAACTGAAGGTTGGGCTCATATGCAGTGGTGGATTTGATTTTGAGCCTGATATAAATTGACCGAGTTGTGGTGAGAAAGTTTGATAAATTAGCGACCAAAGAAGACAAGAAATCTCAGTCACTGGGAGAACTGGGACGCTCTGGCGGCTGCTTGAGGAGCCCATTGTATAAAACAAAGAGAAGGCACCTTAATGGCAGTTCGACGGATTTGCAGCTGAAGCCTTCAGACAGAAAACAGTAGGGATAACATCTCAAGGTTTGCGTTTGGCTGCCTGGATATTTATCTATATCGGCTTTTCGTGAAGTCGATGCTCTCGTTAATGGACACCAAAGGTAAAAATGATGTAATTCCATTGAAAAAAACACATTAAATAATAAAAAAAGAATAGCTTTTTATATACAGATGTGATTGATATGGAGCCAGTGTTTGGTTGGTCTGTTCTGGGCTACTGTAGAAACATGGCGGTTCAACGTCGCAGACTCCAGCAGCATCTGTAGATAAAAACTTCTCATTCTAAGGTAACAAAAACACAACTATTCTTATTTTCAGGTGATTATAGAGTAATGCATCATTTAGAGCTTGTGAGTGGAAGTGGCAATTAAAAAATCATCAAGATGCTTGTGACAACAGACGCACTTATTGTTTTCAACGGCTCCAGGCTGAGTGCAGGCATTAAAGGGGTGTCAGTGCAGTGTGACACAGCCTCCAGTCAGCTCAGTAGAGCCATGCAAGGTGAATTTAACCAGCATGTTATCCTGCGATGATTAGTGAATACAGCTCGAACCAACGCTATTACATGCTGAGCATCAGAAGACGTATTCAGGGTAACTTGACTGACCCCTTTTAAAAAGTGAAAGGGACAACTTACAGACAATCTGACAGTCACACAGGAAACCAGGTTTTATTTGTGTGAAGACATTGTTCTTTAAACTCACGGGGAATAATGTTTTGTCACACTCCTAAATCACTACTATTTTACAACAGGCCGTTTGTCTCTCGCTGTGTAAACTGGCAAAGGGTGTTACATGGATTTATGGGATAAACAAACTGAGGAATTGATTTCTTAAAAAACATTCATGTCTCAAAAACACTTATTCTAATGCCCCAAACTCCTAATATATGGACAGTGAAGTTATAAGAAAGATATCTAAGGATTTGGAAGTCCCTTTATGAATCAGAGACTACACAAGTTTAATGTGCTGTTGCTGGAAATGGAGTGTATTGAGTTGAGCAACACTTTAACCTTGTACTTACAAGAGTAACTTTTAATCTGCGGTTTTTCTTGTTTTAAAAGTTTTCTACTTCCCTTTCTTAGAAACACAGATCCTACCCCAGTCTTGGCCTTCACTTATCGCCTCATCAACTGCCAACAATAGCCCCGGGGGGCTGTTCATCAGAAGTAAAGTCTGTTTTCCAGGAAAAAAAAATCCTAATTTCATAGCATGATGGACGATGGCTCTCACAGATCACAGCTCTTTTAAACGGCACACATTTCTATCATTTGATTTCTACCTTTCAGATACAATAATAATGTTTTTAATTAAAATATTGTCATTTGGGGGCTTTTTCAAGCAGATATTGATACACTGTAATACATGTTTCTGTGGTCCTTGTAGAGTTTAAATAATGTACCAGGTCAAATCTGTTCAATATAATTGTGTCTTTTATCATTTAAGTAAATATTAATCCAAAATGTTTGGTTCAACAATGCAAAAATACATTTTAAATAAAGTTTTAATCACGCTTGTTATTACTAAGAAATAATATTTATATTTAATTCACAGCATTGAATATCAAAATCAATTCTCTGATAAATGTGGGTGATTGTACTCAATTATGTATCATTGATATGTAAAATTTTATAAATTCTACAATTTAAAGTTTTTACATAAACTCAATATCTTTGTTTAATTCCCTTTTATTTTCTATTTGAATCTACTCATATGAAACTTTACCTGCAAAGGGTCTCGTTTATTTTATGTTAACTCAATACTAAACAGTTATATTTCATTAATAATACTGCTTGTAATCAGTTACAGTATATATATGATTAGTATATATAATAGTATATATAATAAATGGAGTATATGTGATTCATTGTGTTTAAATCAGCAGATATTTCTGCCACCTGCACTGATGATGACCATATATATATACAGCCATGGACGAAAGTATTGGCACCCCTGGAACTTTTCCACAAAATGCACCATTTCTACGGGCCAAAATGTTTTGATAGTCTCCGGATTTCATGATTCCTTGCACACAATCAATGCACCCAGTGCCAGAGGCAGCAAAACAACCCCAAAACACCTTTGAACCTCCACCATATTTGACTGTAGGTACCGTGTTCTTTTCTAGGCCTCATTCTGTTTTCTGTAAACAGTAGAATGACGTGCTTTGCTAAAAAGCTCTACCTTAGTCTCATCTGTCCACAAAACATTCTCCCAGAAAGATTGAGGCTTACTCAGGTATGTTCTTGCAAACAGCAGTCTGGCTTTTTACCATAGAGCTTCATCTCATTCAGATGACGACGTATGGTTCGAGCTGACACCGTTGCACCCTGAGTCTGCAGGACAGCCTGAATTTGTGTGGAAGTTGACTGAGGTTGTTTATCCACCATTCGAACTATCCTGCGTTGCAGTCTTTCATCAATTTTTCTTTTCCGTCCACGTCCAGGGAGATTTGCCACAGTTCCATGGGTTATAAAAGTCTTGATTGTATTGCGCACAGTTGACAAAGGAACTTTAAGATCTCTGGAGATTGACTTGTAACCTTGAGATTGTTGATATTTTTCCACAATTTTGCTTCTTAAGTCCTCAGACAATTCTCGGCTCTTCTTTCTCTTCTCCATGCTTGGTGTGGCACACACAGGCACACAACACAAAGGTTGATTCAACTTTTATAAACTCTAACTGGCTTCAGTTTCGATTTCTATATTGCCAGCACCTGTTACTTACCACAGGTGAGTTTAAACAAAGATCACATGCTTGAAATGAAATTATTTACCCAGAGTTTAAATAGGGTGCAAATGATTTTGTCCAGTCGATTTTTTGAGTTTTGTGTAAAATTATGTCAAATTTGGCTTTTTTCTTCTGCTTTTTTGTGTTGTCCCAATGCACTTAAAGGAAATAAACACGTGTTCTTCCGTCCATATAGATATAAAAATATATGTGTATTATTTTGTAGTTGGATTAGGTTTTATTTATTTTGTAAATGTTTACGTATTTAAGTATAGTTTAAACTGGTAACAGTTCCTATATTGTTCAATTTCAAGATCAAATTTGCCTTACAAATAATACATAATTTTGTTATTTTATTTATATTAAAACTGGTCTATTTATTAAAAAGTTATCCTTTTACCTGTTTATGTTTGCTTTGTTGTTTTCTTTGTGTGTCGTCATTTTATATTTTTATTTGTTATTATTTTTGGGAACATTTTCTGACACAGGAGGATACAATAAATTAAAAAAAATGTACGTACACTATCAAACATACAGTGTTCAAACCCAGATGTGTGTTTATATAAATATGCACTTTATTTTTCGAGGAAAAAAACAGTAAACAAACAAAAGATGATTCATGATAACAAACTTTTATAGTAACAAACAATGTAGAATGAACAAGACTCATGAAAGCATCATTATACTATTGTTATAAGCATTATATATATTGTTCAGTTGAAAGGTCTTTTACAAAATAGTTTATTCTTCGGCAGGTTACAAAATTCCTATTTGGCGTAGAGCATTTCTTTCCTTGTAGCGTACATGGAGCTGAGAGAAAACACAGCGTCAGTGAGGGCGGTGGGGAGGAAAGGGAAGAGCTGGAAGAAGACCCTGTCCATCGCAGAGACCAGCAGGTATCTGTATTTAGGCCGAGTCGACGTGATGGCGTGCACCATCGCACCGATGACCAGGTCGGCGTTCTTGAATCCCGCCCTGCAGGTTGACGTGAAGTACTCGATGGCCAGCTCAATGTACTGCTGGTTGAACGCTTGCTTGCGTTCGTCGTCCAATTTCTCCCAAACATCTAAACTTGTTTTCATCTTCAGGATGTTGGTGGCTTGTCCGAAGTTCCCCGGCTGGATGATGCTGACCTAGAATTGAGTCACAGATTTAATTAGTCTCAAACTTTTACATACTTTTTACAGAAATAGTTTTGCCACTTTTATTCGCTCTAATGGCCGGTTAGCATTCTCAAAATCAGTCAAAATTTAAGCTTTTTGAATTAAGAGATACCTTAAAACTATCCTATGATTTTGAGTTTAAAATCTAAATTTAGAGATTGTAAATTAAAAATTAAAGTATGTTTTTGAAGAACTCAAAAAGGATTAATCAGATTTTTTTTTATTTAGTAGAAATTACCTTCAATATGTTTTAAAGCTCAAAACAAGAGATTGAGAATCAAAATCTACTTTTAAAATAATACATTTTTATTTAATTTTGAGATATTTCTTGCGTAATATCAAACTTTGAATTACCGTCAATCCTCACAATTAGTTGATTTTTTTCTGTTTTTGGCAGAAATAAGCTTCTATACATATAAAATGTTGAGCTAAATACTAAAGAGGTCGTATATCTTGTTTGTTTAAACAAACTTTTGTAAAAAAAAAGTACAAAAGCTAAAGTCTGTTACCTTTGGAGCGATCCAGGCTATTTGTTTCCCCCGTTTCCATTCTAACTAACTAACCCACTTACCGTACCATACATGAGGTAAATTTTCTCATCTAACTCTCTGCAAGAAAGCCAATAAGTGAATGTCGAGAGGTTAAAATCAACAGTTTCCTGGCTAACAAAGACCCACTGTGGGCGTGGGACTGACATGAAGAAGAGCGTGACGTACTGACAGTGTCACGTTGGTTTTACACTAAATGAATGCAATCAAATGGAAAAATAAGCCTGACAAATTAGTTTTACTTCCTATTTGCCCAGAGGCGTTATTTATTTTATGACCACAGAGTTCTCCCCATGCATCGGAGCGTCACAAGATTTGTGTGTTTACTGTACCTTCACACCAAAACTGGCCATTTCAACTCTCAGGCAATCCGCAAACGCCTCCAGGCCTCTCTTTGACACACTGTACGCGCCCATGTTCAGGCAGTTGAAGAAGGAAAAGATGCTTGAGGTGTAAATCATCCGACCTGTGGCAGCCAGGAAGCATAAAAACAACAATTTACCCGCGATGTCTCCACAGTGAGAAGGCGAGGCGACAGTGAAATGTGGCTGCATTTTGAGCTGACCTTTGGCGGCACGAACCAGAGGCAGGAATGCGATGGTGGTCCTGATGGAGCCGAACAGGTTGATGTCGACCATGTGGTGGAAATCTTCAATGGTGCTCCATTCGATCTCGGCCCAGTCTGAGATTCCCGCGTTGTTCACAACTGCCCACAGGCCTGAGGAAGTAAGAAGGGTTACAAGAAGTTATTGTTCAGAAAAGAGAAGATGTGTGCAAGTAGATGTGCAACCATGATGAAATCATTTAATCTACATCTCCAAAAAAGCTTCAGGACACAAACTGCACGACATCAATCTCTACAGACGCTGTATGAAAGGAAAAACTGCAAACAAATACGTTCTAATTTACGCTTATTTAGTCTTAGTTTTGAGTCAAAATTTTGTCTATTATGTCAAATTTAGGACATTTATTAGGATATTTATTTATGGAAGCACATTTCTACCAAAAAAAAAAAAAAAGGAAAAGAATGAAAAGTACTTATTCTATCTAATCTTTCCTGAAATTATTGACTTTTTAAAGTTTAATAATGATAATAAAATATATACTTGGTAAATTAAAATCATGAGATAGTACCATCTCATGATTTAATATTAAGCTTGAATTGATCTTCCATACACAAGCTGAACAAGAGAAACTGGGTCATTTTTTACAGTGTGCTAAACTCTCACCTTTCTCTGGCAGGTCCTCCTGGACCGTCTTCCTCGCCTGCTGCACCTCTTCATCACTGGTGACGTCCAGCTTGAGGATTTTCAGATTACTGGAGCTCTGTCTGGCCAGGCTCTGGGCACCGGCTCCTTGTGGATACAGACACCCGGCAAAGACCACAAACCCAATGCGGTCCAGACACTGAGCCAGCTGATGCCCGAAGCCGCTGTCACAGCCGGTTATCAGCACAGCGTAGCCTTGACCGTCCTGCACATGGCTGCTGCGATGGCGGGAAACCAGCTTGGCGAAGAGGAAGAGCAGGAAGGCAGAAATGGAGACGATGCCAACGACTTGGCCGATGAAGAAAATCATGTTCATGCTGGCGAAAGCGTCTGTGGACTGTCTGCTAGAGCTTCCTTCTGCACAATATAAGCCTGTTCACAACACAGCAATGGTTCATTGTAGGGGGGCGTGTTTGTTGTGATGTGTGAGGGGTGACATTCACACAATTTGTTCAGGTTTTTTCATGTGACTTCATAAGACACCTCTGTTGTCCCAGAAGAACATCAGCCCGACTGTTTTCATACAGGACAAGTGAGAAAGTTTTAAATTGAAATGATGATGATTGTGGTGGGAACAGCCACAGTGAACCGGCCTCCAGTTATTTTCTTTAGAAATTATATTTCCTGGTAACTAATCAATTACAAAGAGATTACATGACCTACTGAGCGTGTGACTCTTACTTCCTCTTACTAACAGAGAGCATTGCATCAGAACAGCCATGCAACATGTCAGCAACAGCAGTTTGTCTTGTTTACATTCATTCTGGTGTTGTTTTTCTGTTGTTCGCTCTTTGTGAGTCCTGATTTTTATCTTATTATTTATCTTATCTTCATCCTATCATGTCTGAGTTGTTTGTTGTTTTTATATTTTTGCCTTATTGGGCCTTATTGTCTGTTGCTGCGAAACAAATCTACCTCCATAAAGGAACCTATGGAGAGAATTTAGTTCCTTTATTATTCAATCAAATACAATAGATTTGAAACCAAAAAAGAGATTTGAGAGCAAAAAAGAGTAAGTGGCAATCAAAACATTTTTTTTTGAGATCGAAACAGAACAGGTTTCTTCAACTTCGATCAAAACTTATGTTTGTAAGTAAAAACATATACGACCATTTTGCTTATAAATCACTCCTCTATGCTTGCAAGTTCTCGCCACAGCTGTTCTAATGTCAACAAACACACGTGGCGAATAACTGAACAAATTCACACACATATTTCTAACCAGCATTCCTGGTCTATACAGGAGCAGCTGAATGATGCTTCTGACCTCAGAGATGTACAATGTGTAGGCTGTGGAAGAGAAACGCAAATTTCAGCCCCACTGATCTGTATAATCAGACCAAAAGACATGTCCTGTGATTGTAATTATTCGCCATGTGTGTTTGTTGACATTAGAACAGCTGTATGTTTCAATCACAGCCCTACATTGTATACGCCTCCCCTCATTAGGCTACTCTGCTCAGGCCGTGACCAGCAGAGACAACCGTGTTGCTGCTGATCAGTGTGCTTGCAGCAGCAGGGCATTATAATACATTACTTGTGTTGTTGTTGTTGTTGTTGTGAATGTACGGCAGGCTGTAGCCAACGATATATAGCGCAATTCATTACTTATGGGAAACGTTTCAAGAGCAACAGGCTTACCTCCAAGCAGCACAGCACAGGGAGAAGTGGGTGTAAGACGTAGCCAGGTCAAACCAACCAATAGAAACTCTTCTCTCTGTGATATTTTTTTTTCAATTGCAACCTGTTCTGTTTCGATCTCAAAAAAAAAAAAATGTTTTGATTGCCACTTACTCTTTTTTGCTCTCAAATCTCTTTTTTGGTTTCAAATCTATTCTATTTGATTGAATAATAAAGGAACAAAATTCTCTCCATAGCAACCTAATCGTTTAAAATTGGTGCAATCAATTCATTTTGGCTATAAAAGTTTATTAATTATCAAAAGGATACTAGAAAAAATGACTTTAATTAATATTAAAGATCCTCAGGGGAACACCCTTAGATAAGGGAAACAATAGCCGATAATTGATTGATCAATCTCATTAAAAAACCACTAATTTAGAAATCAGATTAATAATCAAATTAATAACCACTATTAATAGTTAAAGTGGGAGCTTTGGAGTTCTGCATAGAAGAGGCTGGTATCACTCACTCTTAAATAGGCCAGCATGTATAAACACAAACATTTATTAATGAGATAAAAAAAGCAATTAGAGGAAAATACACTATATAGAGAAAGAGTGTGTGTGTGTATGTGTGTGTGTGTGTGTGTGTGGTAGTTGCATGCATAACATCACATTAGCACTGTCTCAGAGACTACAGTTACTACAGTAACCTGCGTTAATTCAATCAACAACATGCGGGTTTAAGACACTTCCAGGTTGGCTTCAGACCCGGAACACCTCAGGGAGTTAAAGATCATAATGAAGTGGACATTAGCCACAGAAGAATCAATACTGGGCCACAGAGGGGGGAGACAACCACATAATTGTGCATTTTGGGTGAAGTATTCCTTAAATCTTTGTTGCCCTACAGTATTAAGACTAAACCCTCATAGTACTCCCATTTTAAACTCCATTCAGACACACGAAGCCAAATCATGACTTAGTATCTGATCATTTTGATTTATAAAGAGACACTTTATGTCTGAAGGTCTTTCTGTCTTGCACTTTTTTTTTTTATGTAGCGCCCTCCAGTGGTTACACAGCCTTACTGCATCCTCTCTTTTTGGTTGATTATTTAATTAATTGCTGATTTTTTATCATGAATAAAAAAATTAAATCATAATTAAAAGGAGCAGCTCTTCTGCCCAAATGCTTTTTTTCTTCACTTTATTTTCGACATGTTTATTTATTGTTGAAAGATTACATTATCCCACAGAAAAAAGACAACAAAGACAGTCAGCTACGCCACTGATCATGATTCAGTAATCACTGTTAAACTCTATTAATTAATCAATGTTTGGTATTGATTTGATAAACCTCTCTTTTCAAAACAAAAAAACAAACAAAAACCCAGTTTATGTGTATTTCAGCTTTGTATTTTCAAGTTACAATGTACAGCAACATTCAAACCTTCACAGATGTTCTCAAGAATATCTCAAATAAAATGCCAAACATATATACGACACAGCTGCAGCAGGACTGCCACCAGCAGTGAGTCTGACAGTGTGGTTCACATTAAAGTCACATAATGATGGAGTGAAGAGCAGTGGCTCCCCCTGGTGGTACAGACAGGTCACTGGGGGTGTGTGAGGAAAATAAATATGTGAGAAAATACAAAGAAATGTCCCCCTTTGTCCTCAACGAAGGAGTCCTCAAGTAGAAATTCATATTTCTAAATTTGGTTCAGCTTCAGATTTGAATGAGAAATGTTTTTAATGTAGTCCATACAGTTGGCAGTGCGATGCAGAGTGGTGTCAATCATAAACAGTGAGTGCATAGAAAGAAAATGTGGAATAAAGATGTTCAGCTACTGAAGATATTTACTTTTATACAGTTTCTATTTACGTCTTTCTCCGTGCTGACGCTCAATCTAGTTTATTTGATCCTTTTTCTTCATATTTGGCAGCTTGTTCTTGATGCTTTTAAAGAATATTTTGACATTATTCTGACTTTTCTCTCCAGTTTTATCCACCTTTTAAGGCCTTTACACGCTGAGGGTGATACATTTTGTTTTTGTAATAATAATAATAATAACAATAATAATACAAAGGACAGTGACAAAAAACTAGGAATGGCGATTGTCATGTTGGATCCATCCATGAGCTCTCTAAACAGTGACAGTTGCTGGTCTGCCGCCGTCTCCATTAGTTAGTTTGTCTTGTGTGACTTTGGTGTTTTGGCATATTAATACAGACGGGACTAGAGCCTGGGACAGACCCTGTCCTGCTTGTGGGGGTTTCATTTATCACCATCTATAAAAAGGGACAGTCCAGTGTGGTGAACTGTTTTCTGGGAAGTGGGATACAGTCAGGAGGAAGTTCAGCTACTTTAAATGTGGCCTCTGAGAATAAAAGACATTTGCTTTTATATATTTGTTGTTTCACACATATCGAACCCTTTACAGTTCCTAGAAAACATACAGACAAAAAAAATAAAGCAGACCGATGAGCCACTGTCGCACTGCGTGACCAAAAGCACCAAATGCAGATTAATCCGCCGCTGAAAATAGTCCCCACACAAATTGCTGTTCTTAGAAAAATGAAATGACATATTTGTGATCGGCTTTTAAAGATTTCCGCCTTGTTTTTAGTCTTTTCATGAGATTTGTTAATAGTTCAAATATAGAATAACACAAACCTTATCCTTTGAATGCAGGGAGCCCATTGTGTAGAATATAAATATAAATGTTTGTATGGTCGACATTGATTATATCAGTGCTTGATCAGGGATGAGGCTGTGCTGTTCATGTACATAATAAGAAATAAAAACCTTGACAATCTCGTATTCAGCGTGTTATGCGTTATATAGCATCAGCAACTAATATAGTACGTAAAAACAGTTATAGGTTTCAGGAAGGTGCAACTGTTTATTAGTGTGACACTGAATCACTGAGTATACCTCCAAATAAAGCTCATCTAAAACGTCTCAAACAGTAACCAGGAGACATGAAGGTCGAATTAAACAGTTTCTGAACACAGTATTTTGATTGTACCCAGTCTGATCACAGCCGACGTACAGTCCATCGATATCTCGTAACAACCCAGAGATCTCTGCGGTCCAATCAGGTCTCCACTTTCCCGTAAGTGCCGTCAGGCGGTCGGTAGTGTTTGGGGAAGGCTTTGAGTTGCAGCGAGTTAAACGCGTACTTTCGGCATCCAACGTTCTTCACAGTGTTTTCTCGTCGGCAGCCCTCGCTGGGGAGACAGAACGGGGGAGGGAGGGAGGAAGGGAGGGGGTTCACAGACAGAATGAGAGCAAAGAAATAGGAATGATGGTTGTGAATGATGCTTTTTAAATAGTTCCTTAACATAAAAGTCTGCTGGGGGTTGAGGGAGTTGATCTGATCAACAATCAATGAATGATAGATTCAATAATCCATAAAGTTAAATAATAAAAACCCACTGTTATAAGTTAATAACTAGAACTTGTTGTTGTAATTGCAACCGATTGACAGTAGAGGTCAGTAAAGACTTACTCAAACTGTTTCAAACTGAATGAGGAACACAACACTGGAAAAAGACACACGCACACGCGCACGCACGCACACACACACATGGAAGAAAAGCTGAGGGAAAGCACAGATAAAGTAAGCTGAGGGAAAAAAAAAAAGAATAAAAAAGGACATTAAAGGACATTAAAGACCACAAAGTACCACCGGAGTCCGTTTATGTTCTGCAGGTGGGTGCAGAAGATGTTTATTACAGCAGGAGTGTGGCGTTCAGGGACACACTGACTGGAGGTTTTCTTGGGTTTGTGGTACATTTAGAGCAACATGGGGCGCAGCAAGGCTAAAGCTCTTGGATATTTAACTGCTGCTGAGGAAAAGCACTGATTGCCAAATGTGGAAGAGAAACAAAAGACAGTTCAACGTCACAGATTCTCTGTTGTCTGCTGACCTGGGATCTGTCTGAGGAGGTGTTACTGTAACACCAAGAAGCACTAAACCAATATGAGTCGAGATCTTTGTCAGATTTTAGAATTAAATACTAAAAAATATTATTATTATTATAAATAACCTTTCCTATACACTTTCTGTACAAAACAAAATTGAAAAAATGAATCTAAAATTTTAAAATTTTGACTAAAAATTGAATATTGACCCCAAAAATCCACTGTGTTGTCAGCACTACAGATAACCGTCTCTCCAGAACTTCCTTTTAACACAATAACACTTTGCAGGAGGTAATTATGATCCCAGTGACACAATTATTCTCAATTAACATGTTAAACGTGACCATTAACAAACAACCTGTTCACATAATATCATATCTATTGTTAACAGGAGGGCTCGGAGGGTTAAAAGTATCTGCCAGTAGTTATTATGTCAACAGTTTAAGCACGAGAAGAGATTAAAGTAAAACAATTAACAGTCAGGATGAACAAAAACATATAAATCTGCATATTACAACAATATCACACGGACATATTGAGCTATGGTGTAAAGTGACGACAGCATGACAGTTATGGCACAAGCATAATAATCACATTGTATAGATTATTCTTTATACTCTGCTTTGGAATAACGTAAGACAATAGCAAACGTTAGCATTTAGGCATTACAAGCATCTTTAAATACAATTTATGTACAATATAAATATATTCTCTGATCTCAGAATAACAAAAACAAAAGGAAAGAAACAAAGAAAAAGAGATTGAGATGTTTCTCTTTTAAAGGTCAATGATATGAGTTTTTAATTCATAGTTTTAGGAAGCACTTTACTGTTATTACACATATAAGTATGGGGAATTAATGATTAAGTGTGTTAGTAATTGAAAATATTATTTTTTATTTTTCAGATTTTCATTTATTTTAATCATTGTACATAAAATAATTGATGTTCCCTCACATCCCTGCTGCTCATTGATCATATAATCACATTAGGTGTCATTTTTAATAAATATATATATATATTAAATAAACTTTAAGTTAACATATAACTTAATTCTGTCTCACAGAGGTAGTTCTAAACTGACATAAGTAGTGAATAATAACTTAAAGGAGGAATTTGGGGCACTTTCTTGATCGATGCCACTCTCACGTCTGTACAACAGCCGCCTGGGAGGAACCAGCGAGCTAGGAGCCAATTAACTTGTCAGTTTAACTAAAGACAGTAAACAGGAAACTTTTCTCTCTCCATGAATAATAAAAGCTGCCTTTCAGCACATGTGGGCACCAATTTTTTTCCCATCTAACTTTTGGCGATAAAGCGAATACCTTCCTTTTTCAATAAGAGCATCCAATAATTAATAATTACTCTATTTTCAACTGTTTTTCAGGAAGTCTTGTGTAGCAGCACTCAAGTGTTTGAGGTGTAAATGTCAATATTCACAATACGTTTCTAAATACAAACTCATTTAAGAATACTGAGACGTTACTGTATGTCTGATCATTATACTGTAGTGTGTGTGTTTGACTGTTTAGGGGTCACGAGAGCATGTTACACTCCCAAAGGAGGCTATTCTGGTCTGATCCAGTTCCATACTGGGTCGATCTTAATGAGACGGAGCCTCCAAACTCCGAGGAGGTGACTGATGCTTTCGTTTAGTTTCACAGGCTAAGAAATCGATTTATTAAATGCAAAGTTTTCAATCTGCAAAGGAAGCTGAAAACTCTTGTTTTTTACTCCAAGGAAGGATTTCTTATATTTCCTAAACTGCCACATATGACCATTTAGTTAAAAAATAATGCAGCTGATTCAGAAATATGTAAAAAATAAAATATATAACACATGCTCTCTAGCAAACTCTATGATAAGTGCATGATTTGTAAGCAAAAGCATCTTGAAAACAATTTGTTTTGAGTTGTTAGTCACAACCGTAAATTAATCAACAATTAGTGCAAATTTACTGATGTTTTTTTTTTGACAAATTCATCACTTGAGAAAACAGTCGGAAGATCAATCATAAAAAAATAATAGTTGCAGGTTAGTAAAGCGTATTCACAAGACTAATAACTAAATAATCTAACATAGAAGTGGACTATATTCAGAGAAAGACGTCACATCTTTTCTGGCTTAATCTCTTTGCAAACACAGATCCTACAAACCTGAATTCACCTGACATAAACCTGACTGGAGCATTTGGCACAAGCATGGATACATTCCTTTCATTCATTCACCTTAACTACGAACAAAGTAAACTCATCACCTCGACTCGACACGTCTCCACTCTATAAAGCTAATTTTAACTGTTTTAGCTGCAATCTGTACCAGTTTATGGTAAACATATAAATGCTCTAAAAGGGTGTAGAACAGACGACACTACACTGCATAATCAATCACATTTCCCCTGAATATCCTGCAATCATACATTCCAACGTGACCCAATTAGAAACTGCGTCCTTAAAAATACAAAAGATTCAACGGTGTCAGCTGGCGAGACGGAGCTCGTCTCCACTGCACTCGGCATGAGAAGCTTCAGGAGCAGATGTGGGTCGAACCACTGGCTGACTGTATCTGACGCGCCACATGGGGACCAATTTAAAGAAGTGCCATCACTGGCTGCTACTGCCTCTGGGGCAGGTGAAGGCAGAAGCTCAATCTCAGGGAGTGAAAAAGTATTAAAACAGTGACTACATCAAACATGTCACTGCTTTTACAAATGAACTGAACCCATAAATAACACCTCAGCCAGGCCAGGGCAGCTCAAGGTTAGAAATAATGTGTTTTCAGGGGAAATGTGGAAAAGGGCTCCACAGGTAACCTTTAAACTTGAGTGAGTCACATGAATTATTCTCTACTAACAGAGCTGGAAATGGAAAATGTTTTTGGACGTCATTATGCTGCAGGTGCTGTAATAAGAGCTGGCTTTAACAACACTGTGTGGATGCTATGAAGCCTGGAATACGCCACTGGATTGGTTCTTAGTTGCATTCACGACTTTAAATCAAAGGGAGTTCAAATTAAAATTGAATTAAAACAATGGTGAACTGGACCACCAACGCCGGGGAGAAACATCTGGCTCTTTGAGTTATGTCATGTTTTTGTGAATTAAATAAATTAACTTCATTATTTATTTCATTGTGAGTTAATAATGTAAAATGAATTATTACATAGTAGTTTTTTTTAAATTCATAAATGTGTTAATGACTAATTAAATGTAAACATAAATGTCTATATTTATTCTGACTGCAGGCTCCACAGAATTCAGATGAATCTTTGTTCATATATATTTCTTTTACCGGTTTTGAAGCAATTTGCAGCAACACCCACACCTGAGTTTTTACTTCTGGTTGAGCAGACCTGTACGAGCCCACACAGTCCTCACAGGACTAATCATGGATTTAGGGCCTTTCAAGAAAAAGAGGAATTTAAGAATTTATTATCAGGTCATTTAACTGTCTCTACTTGTTTGCTCTATTACACTTTTTTATTTATTACGGGAACTTTATCTTCAGTTGGAGGATTGTTTTCCCTTTTTTCTTGCTGCCTTCCCATGACGAGGTCAAATATCATTTTTCTTACATAACATGCAGGGATTGATGGATAACGTTGTTTTCAGCTGCCTGTTTCTGCTACAACTTGCTACACAGGAAATGGCACATACTGGCCGGCAATCAAACAGCTCCTACTGATTAGGAAACAAGTCATGCATGTTTTCACGGGGGGGGCTGATCCCTGAGCGCTGGTCTGTTTGTTTGCTCATACAAGGAATGCATGGTATTTAAAAATACTTTCGGCTAAATGAGTAGGGAGTGTTAAAGGCAAGAAATGCTGTTCATGCAGCACAGTTCTGATTGAATTGGAGCTGGTATAATCATCTTAGTCTGGTGGAAGTGTTGACTTGAGTTCAGTTCATGTACGTCTGAGAAAACAAGGTTATTAAAGTTTTCAGACACTTCAATTTAGCCTCAATTTATCTGCTATTCTGAGGTATGGGTAAAAAGAAAGTGATTGTCATTCTTAACCCCGGTACTGTTGGTTAAAATATCCCAATAAAAGGCTAAAGGTTGGGGAATTTGAGTCAAAATAGGTATGTTGTAAACAGAATCAGTGATAATAACTGACCCAGATCTGCTGGAAAGTGCACATGCTGAACAAAAACCTCCTTCGACTGTCTAGGAGAGCAGGAAGACAAATAAAAAAGAGAAAATACTGCCTGAAAAAATATATATAAGCCAAAGTGAGCGTAAATAAAGAGTTTCCTCCGCTTTAGCTTGTAAGGTGCAAAAGCACATGGAAGACAATGGTGAATGCAACAAGCTAGCTGGTTTGTGCAAAGCTTAAATTAGAACTCACTTTCCTTTATAATGGCTACGATCAACAGGAACACTTCAGTGAAAGCAAGACTTGTATATAATATATATATATATATATATATGTGGTGTCATTTCTGGCCTGTGCGTCACAAACATACAAACTGTCACTTTGTATTTTCTATGTGTTGTGTTACAACAATGAAGATTAACACAGAGCAGCCACACAGATGATAAAGGGTCATTAGAGGGCGCTATCCACTTAAAATGTGAATGCTGCTCGAGAGTCTGCTCATTATTCTTATTCATCCTGTAAGTAGTTACACTCATCCAGAACGGTTTCTGTGTCTGGGTTTGAACATTTGTAATACAGCAGTTAGCTGACCACAATGTTTTATATCTGAACATTACTGACGTGAAAAGTTCACACTAAGCCAGCTTAATTAAAAAAAATCTTTTCACATTAAAAGTGTGAAGCAGCAACGTGGGGTAGCTTTTATTGTGAAGCAGTCACAGGAAACCCAATATATCTGTCACTGCGAGTGGTGTCCGTGGTTGTCGCTGACTCAACCAGGACTGAAATCTTAAGGACTACAACCTTAACCTGTATTTATTGTTCTAAGTCTTATAAGACTTGTTTGATTGGTTGACAACAGAAACAGAAAAACCCATCTGAGACCCAGCAGAGTAATCAGACTCTGTCCCACCACTGACTACGTGTTGGTTGTGATGCAGTTTTGTTGTTTGTGGAGCAGAAAACGATGAAAAAGAAGAGATTTAGTTTTTTACAATTAAGTTTCTGTGTGCACAGAGATCTTTAAGAAAATGACCGGAAAACATAACACACATAAGTTTTTAGATTTAGCCAAGCTTAGTGTGAAGTAAATCATCATATCAGTATTGAGACAAGATAACTGTATGTTTACGACACTTTCCCAGGCTAACCATGTGCAGTTTTTCAAAGCTGGAAACATCGTCCATAAACCAAAAAAAAGAGGGCAGGGCTTGGCACTTGATAAATGGGGCATCGGTTGTGGTAAGCCCTTAGTCAGGGTGGGGCAGTGTGTACATACACACTCACAGGACAGTGGCACAGTTTCAGAAACACCCTCAGGAGTCCGTGTGGAGTATTCCCACTCCTCCTCACAAACGAAGGACGTTGTGCACTGTGGCTCCTGGCAGAGAGCTGCACGCTGGCCGCTCAGCTGCAGCGGAGTTTGGCCAGGAAATAGGCCACGCTGAGGAAGATCCACACCACCAGGAGGTTGGGGCTGAGGGCCAGCAGGGGCAGCGAGTACAGGAGGCTGGGGTCCAGCCGGAAGTCACGCACCGGCAGCAAGCCGCTCAGGTTCTTCTGGATCACCCCCTCCCTCGTCCCAATACTGCCGAGTCACGGGAGGTGGGAGGAGGAGGAGGAGGAGGAGGAGGAGGAGGTGTGGAGCAGCAAAAAAAGGTTGGAGGTAGGTGGAGGAGTGGTTGAAAAGGAAGAAAAAAGAACAAAGGGAAGGGAGGAAATAAAAGAGGAGAAAGGAAAGAGATGAAGAAAAAGTATAAGGGCAATTAGGGAGAATAGAGATGGAGGAGGAAGGGGAGTGTTAGGAGGAAATAAGAAAGAAAATAAAAGATTGCAAGGAGGAAGCGGGGAAGGAAGGGAAGGAAGAGGCCAGTGTGTGTCGCAAACAAAGCCAAAACAAACAGATGGCATGCACAGAGGTGAAATGGCAAATTAACAGGTGACACCGGTGAAAGAAGGCACAGCCACGATGACAGATAGCGGTTTCCACGGGGAGACATCAAAATAATGAAAGTAATAAAAATCATATGGTAGTGACAACAAATGGAAGTGAATCACAAACAGACCAGAAAGAATAAAAAAAAAACAATCCCGCAAAAAAATGTCAAACAAACGGGAAACAGAGGAAGAGGAAAAGGAGAAAGAGAAAAAAGAGAAAATTAAGAAAGACGTTTTTCAGAAAGGGAAAGAAGATAAGAAAATACAGCAATGGCTCTCCATGTTTATATATTCTGAGACATGGGGCGAAGGAGGAGGAAGGAATGGAGGGAAAAATGGAGGAAAACCAGCACGAATGCACAGTGGAAAAACACCCTTTAAGTCTAATTTTGAAGTCATTTGCAAAAAAAAAATCTGTCTGCGAACTAACGAGAAAGCTGGTAGGAGCACTTGAGAAATACTAACAAAATTCACATGCAGTGAGTAAACTGGTGCAGGCTTAACTTCAAAATGTTACAATTTGAAGGGTGTGTTGTCCGTTCACATTCATTTTCAACTGATGTGTGGATAAGAGGGGAAAATGATAATGAAGGGAGAATTCGGGGGCAAGCGTTACACTTTCCTCAAGCTTTTTCCAAACATGCATCACAGCTCAAATCCGTTCCAAACTGAAATAAATCAAACTGTCAAAAATGATCCAGAAGCTAATTTCATGCTCGTCGGCTGATGAGGCAGAAAGAGGGGGAGGAAAAAAGGGAGAGATGTGAGGAGAGGAAAAAGAAGGGGAGGAAAAGGTGAAGAGATGTCGTATCATGCGAGTATCGTGTGTGGGAGTGCAACTTTATTGAGTACAAACGAGACAGGTGTGATTACATCTTCTTACAACAGAATATTTACAACATAAAGTCACATAAAAACTGAGAACACAAAACTTTCTTTGACACAAAAAAAAGGTACAAACACTCGAGGATAAACTTATGTTCTGTTTCCGAGAGCTGCAGAGGACGGTTTCCGCCCTCTAGAACAAAATCGACATTTGCAGGAAGCTGCAACATTGTAGACCAAAATCAATAAAACTCTATCGGGGAGATATAAATCCCAGTACACCTTAATGTATCCGTCTGCTGTCTTTTATGGTGTCGGTTCTGTTGTTTTTGGTACAAAATGTCTTTTTTTAGACCAGAAAATTGTATCAAACATGTTTTGGAAAGCATTTTAAATGACGTGCTTTCTGGAAATGTGTTGCTTTCACATGCTTGCGATCAGTGTGTTTCCTTAGTGGCAACATAAAAGAAACGCTTTGAACACTTGGGCAAAGTTACCAAAAAGACTCTGTTATGTTTTCTTCTTTTCTATTTGAATATTTTTCTATTATATTTCTGTTTAAGCTGTTAAACTGAAGGATGTGTCTGCTTTTGTATGGATGTTTTTGGCATGCTGCAGGCCAAATTCCCATGCAGAAAAACAATAAAGACTAAACTGGACTGACAAAATCTCACCATAAGAGGTAAAGGGGCGAATATGTTTTGTAATTTGGGGGCACCGACCTTTTAAAATAAAAAGGCAGCAATTCACTAAATCTTTCTTCATAACTTCTTAACAGGCGGACTCGGACATATTGTGGAAATGAACAAGGGAAAGAAAAAATAAAGCAGGGATGAAGGAAAAGAAAAGGTGACGACAGAATGTCAAGTGCTTCGATAAATCAAATAAAAAAAAAAAAAAAAAAACACTCTGTTGGCAACTCAGACTGAAACAGCGTTGTGTAGCTTTAGAAAAGGAAAGACACGACAGTGATGGACAGACGGACGTACAGACGGAACAGACTCAGACACAGGAAGACGTACAGACGGACCAACAAGCAACCAAAACACACGACCGAAGGAGGATCCTCTCATTTGAATAACAGTTAGGTAACTCTCTTCTCCAGACCCTTGTCACATTGGAGTCTCCAAAAGAGGAGCAACAAAATGTTGTCAAACCTTTTTGACAAGAGTCTGGCAAAGAAAGCAACCAACTGAATTTCAAAATATTCAAGTATCCCCTTTAAGGTGGACCAGCAACGCTAGGCCAGTTTGAAAGCAGGCAATAGTTTTTTCAAAATCACACATGGGCAAAAAAACATCCTTTTCCACACATTTGTTTCCCTCTGACCTTTTTAAAGACTTTTCTCCACATTAAGCTGATACACACAGTGTATAATAAAGTAATAATTTGGCATCCTACATGTTTAAAGAGCCTTTTTTACCTCACACTAAATAAATTAGTGATTTTATATCACTTTTAATTATTCTTTTTATTGCAAAGAGTCAGTGGATTTGTTCAACCTGTAAAGGACCTTTGGCAGGTTCAAGAGAAACAAATATGCATCTGTAAGTTTCCAATCTGATAAAGCAAAGCTGGAATTTGTTGGTTTTTTTGCCCAGGTCTGCTTTTTTTGTCCTTTCAGGCACAGCGAGGGCGTCTTACCTGCGCATACAGTCGAGGGCCTGCGTGAAGACCTGCGGTGCCATGCCGTGCTCGTGCTGCAGGATCAGGCACTGCTCCAGGGTCACCGACATGGCCGTGCGGTCCTTGGCGCTTTTGCAGCTGGTGAAACGAACTCCGTTCAGCCGGCGACAGATCTGAAACGGAGAGGGAAGAAATATTTAAGCTACTGGGAAACAGGGATAGTCTGTAGTTTTAAAATAACCTCAGCTGTAAGCAGACTATGTCCCGTTGGTGGTTATCAAACCTACCAGCCTGTTATATATCTCTATAATTTTATCACATTAAGATTTCTACCTGTATTATATATAGCACACACCATAGGTGACTGTGCTCATTAGCTGATGTTTTTTTGTTTTAAAGAGAAATAATATTAAATTCTATCCAGTGTGAAACGTCACCTCGGCCGCCTGCCAGAGGATGTCCACGTTCTTGTTTTTCCTGGCGTGGACGTTCTGCCCCAGAAACCTCAGCAGCTCTGGGAGGCAAGTCTGAGAACGAGACCTCGGGAGGCCTGGTGGGTTGTTGGGGGGGAAGATGGGTATGATGTGAGGGAAAAGCAAAAATAAAAAAAAGTACACAATGTAAAAATACTTAAGAAAAATAAGAAGTAGCAGTTAAATGTACCATAAGTATCAAAAGCCTAAAAATGGGTTTGTGACTGATGTAGTTGAGTCCAGTGGTTCCCAAAACAGAGGAACCTCAAAAGGGTCACAAGTTAAATCTGAGGGGTTGTGAGATGATTAAAGGGGAAGGAAAGAAGAAAAACAAAGTTCTGCTCCACAAATTTGTATTTATGTATTACTTTTTTTGTGAAATATTGTCTCTTTGGGCTTCATATATTTGTTTAAATGGAACCATGTAACAAGTTTAGAGGGGAATTGTCTCTGGGAAACACTGGTTTAATTTTTAACAATGTGTTGCATTTTATAAGTAAAATCATAATAAAACAAGTAACTAAAGCTGTCAAATAAATGTAGTAAAAAGCAGAATGTTTCCCTCTGAAATGTGGTGGAGTTGAAGTATGAACATAAAATGGAAACTAAAATGTATGTTTAATTCTACCACTGAAGATATTTAACTTTTAACTGCCCTAACTGGAAAAAGGGGTTTCCCTGCTGAACTCTAGTACACTGTAGTACTTACAGTCCTCAGGCAGGACTTCTTTGAACTGTTCGTAGTATGAATTTAGCCTGGAAAGACTCTCCAGGTTAATGATCTCCTGCAGGGACGTGTCTCCAAACCTGAACAACACAGAGAAACAAATTTAATTGACGACCAACCCAAATTCATCTGTCATCTGTTACACAAAATCTTGCTCAAACTGTGAACTTGTATCTTAGATATCAGAAAAACGTCCCTCCTCTTTTCTTCTCCCACTCACTCACTTCTCAGCCAGCGTCTGCTGCTCGTTGATGCCGACGTTGAAGTGCACCGGTTGGACCCTCAGCAGCATACCACTCTGGATCTCCCGCGGCAACGCGTCGAACATGGTTCCCGGAAGCGGGATGCGGACGTTGAAGCCGTCCCGGTTCCCCGTGATGATCGGCAGCATGTCAGGGGCGGAGCTGCCAGTGGCCTGGGTCACCTGGAGAAAGTTTATGAATATAAGGCCAAAGAAATTTGAAGAAAATAATATTTTAGTCTTTAATAATTCCTAAACAATTTCTGCTGTTTTTCCTTTCTCTCTTTATACTTTAACTGTTTAAATATACATAATATCGAGTCTTTCCTCTGTCTGCTATTTAGTGGGCAGGCAGGAATAATTGCACTATACTGAAAATCAAAAATGCTGTCATTTATTTATAAAAGAGTTTGATCATAAGAACACTAATAAAAAGCTGAAAAGTTGGAGAGAAGCGAATACAGAGTTGAATTTCAATTTCATTTTGGCTCAAATAACTAATCAGTTATCAAAATTGATTCATTGTAGCAGGTCTAATAAAAATATTGTAATTACACTGCAGTTTCAATCTCAATAGAGACGTTTAAAAAAAGGGTAACAAAAGGTCTAAAGTTAATAAATGTCAACAATGAAATACGACAGAATCAGAAATGACAAGAAACTAAATTAGGGCAATAAAACCCACAAAAGAAGAGAGAATTAAAACCAGGATTAAAAGTTCCTACCTTAAAGGTGACGTTACGAAGATCCATGATGCCGACACTCATGTCCTCCAACATGGCCAACTCCTCTCCTGGGAACACACACACACACGGTTAACGGTGACAATCTGTGGATGTCTAATATTGAAAGAAACCTGCCTCTGTGTGTGTGTGTGTGTGTGTGTGTGTGTGTGTGTGTGTGTGTACCGTAGGTGCTGAGCAGGGACTCAAACTGAGCCAGCAGGCCGATGGTGTAGAGCTGTCGGAGGAATCCGTTGTCACGGAGACAGTTCCTCAGTTTGATAATGAAGCCGCAGATGAGAGCGGTGAGCTGCAACACACAAACAAAACACACACACACACACACACACACACACACACACACACACACACACACACACACACACACACACACACACACATTAACATCAGTTCTGCTTTTAACCCTCTGCAGCTGTATACAGTCGGAGTTCAGCTGATTCATGCATCAATAAATGTGACAAAATGATACAGTCAACCTTGTGTGAAGAATCACAGTCAGCTGACAGCTTTTTAAAACTCACTGTACTGACTGATAATGGAGCTTATTTCAAACAAGACTTTAGAAGGCATATGGAATTTAAACTTTGCTCAATAATATGTTGCTTTCAGTTTTTTTTACCCTCCTTTAATGACAATGATGTCCTCAGAAATCATCAGTCAGTCAGATGAGACACTAAAAGCTTTGTGATGGCGAGCTGGCCTTCTTGCTGTTGGACTAGTCAGTGATATTAGCTGGCTTTCTTTGTTGTGTTGTTGCACGCGCTTGATGTTTGTCTGTCAGCAAAGTTGTCGACTCGTTAGTTTCTGATCATAAGTAATGTAATCTTAACAAATGCACGTGTACAGCCGTTCACATTTACCAAATCTTTCACAGCATTGCGTTAAAGGATGAAAATGAATTTATCTTCAAATCCCGTAACACCTTTTAACTTTGTTGTTGTCTAAACTGCATCCATTTGCAAGATGAAAGCTTCTTCATTAATGGCATGCAGTTTTTTAACTGCATCGTGTCCTGTGATTTATATTTAGACGCAGTAAAGCTTTGCTGCTTCTGAGATTACATAAGTGAATGCATGTTATTGGTTTCTGTGCATTCGTGTGTAAAGGAAATCCTGTGCAGCTCAGGGACAGCAGGAGATGATCAGATGTGTTTTGTAATTTATCTTGGACAAATAGTTCAACAGTTCATCTAAGAAGTGACGAAGTCCCAAACCACCAAATATTTTGTTTATCATCACAAGACAAAGAAAATCAGCAAAACCTCCCATTTCACAAGCTGGAACTAAGAAATATTTAACATCTAAGCTTGAACTTAACCAACAACTATTGGGATTATGTTTAATTTCCTGTCAGTGAATAATTGTTTTAGCTCTAATTCTGATTTGAGTGTTTAGGCTCCTTTTGTTCTTGCTGGACCCTATTTATGTCTTTATGGCTGAGTGCAATGTTACCAAAGTAAAAATACCAAAGTTTAACTTGACGTGATTAAACTTATGACCAGACTCATTGCTGTTGTGCAACTGAAGCTGCAGAGATGTCTAAAATATCTCCACTGAACCTGCTGAGTAAATATGACTGTGACTGTAACAGAGCCAAAACTACAAAAATAAGAGGCTGTAAAAAACAACAAGTTGTAAGAAAATAATCCACTATCTCGACTACCTCTGGGACGTACATCCTCTTTTTAACTTTGGCCCCAAAGACCCGAAGCGTCTCTCAGGTTTGTGCCGGCAACACAGCAGAGTAGGAGTGAAGAAATTCCTTCTCTTTCCGTCTTCTTTTATTTTTTCATCCTGCTGTCTTTCCTCGCTCTTTGTTTAAATAGTCATATAAACATGGAAAAGCAACTTAGCACTAACCTTTCCCCCCTTCCAGTTTTGTAATATTTATTTATTGATTTATGAGCTGTTTATCGCTGTGAGTCACTCTGGGGTGAGCACATTAGCTGTTTGTACGAGTGTAAATGTGTGTGGGCGAATAAATGTCATGTTTGTGTGTGTGCTGACCGTCTGGCAGAAGACGACGTCGCGGCGGTACTGCAGCGACAGGTCCATGGCTATCGTCGGGGCGCTGTCCTGCATCAGCAGGAAGACCATGGACCTTTTGGCCGTGTCGCTCATCATAGCGACGCACTCTGTGAGCGTGGTGAGGAGAGGGTACAACGCCTCGCTCCACTCGCCTGGGAAACACACGTACAGACAGAGAAAGTGTAGGTAGAGACAGATAAATGCATTATAGAGGTTAAACAAAGCACTCTTAACAAATTCCTCCTCTGCACAAACACACAATACAATCCAACATTAGCTCAGTTAATATTTAGTATAAATAATGCTGTATTAAATGATCTTATAAGGTCTTTTAAGACAGAAACAGAAAACAGCAGAACAGAGAGACAACAGGGAAAGCAAAAGCATAGTCCCCTCAGTGAAGCTCCAGGACAAGTTGCGCCATATTTCCTTTATATTTTGGTTTTATCATATATTTCCCCACTAGCCCTTTCCATGAATACAACAAGCCACCACTACCACAAACCATTTTAAAAAGAAGAAATGAAACCCTTAAAAGATGCATTTAGGGAAAAAACCTTGTTGGAGCAGAATCAAAACCAAAAGTCTGTAAATCACTAAACCAAACCCTAAACTAACTTTAAGCATTTGATTTTACTTTATCAGACTTGTCCTACAATGTGGTGTTCATTTTAATAGCAGTTAAAAAAAAGAAAAGTAAGAGTAATTCTGTCCTCTAGACAAACATTGACTTCTACTCCAACAACACTTAAAGTATGAGGAAATTCTTCAATTAAACTTCAATTAAAACACAAAAAACAGAAATTAACTCTCACTGTCGTAAAGAGTTGATTATTACATCATTTGTCTGGAGGTCATCAAGAATTCAATCGAACTGTAGTTACACTTCTCAAATCTTCATATGATAATCAAAGATTTACTGTTGGACCGGAGTCCTGGAGAGTTGGGGACAGAGGCAGAGAAGCATGGGTGGGACAGAAGCTCTTACCTGGGTACGCCTCCTCAGCACCGGGGCTTCCATCTGGAAGAGGGGATGGAGGTGCAACATGCATGATTAGGGGGCGCTGTAAGCCACACAGGCCAGCAGAGACACACATGGAAAACACTACAAACCAGGGTCAAAGATCTATCCAAAAACCATTCAGCTTATATTAGAAGTTTTGATCTGATGATTGAAATGGTGGTGCTTAAAATTCCAAATCACAGTTTCGAGTCTTGCTAATAACAGAAAGACTAAAAGGGCGAAGGAGCACATTACAGACCAACTGCTTTTACTAGACAACCTGCAATAACAAAGTGGATAATGAACCTGATATTTTAGTTGTGTCATTAAAGAGCTCCAAAGCAGAGGCCCAAAATTTAAGATCCAAAGAGACATGTTTAATCGTAAATGTCCTCGGTGGGTGTTTTCTGAACTGCCTCAGCTGTATGCACCATTTCTAAGGTTAAAAGTTTGGTTAGACATGTGACCCTGGTACAGTACAACATGTATAGTAAGCACAAAATCTCAGATACGACCGCTGGTAGAGGGGCTGGCTGTGTTCAGCCACAAAGCAGCAACAGCAGAACTTACACCGGCAAAGCTGAAGAAAAAAAAGCTACTCCTAATTTTCTGCTTATGGCTACAACAATGCGGCAACATTGTGGACGGACCAAAAAGACAGGAACAAAGACTGCACACGAAACAAAAAATGCTTCACATTAGATTTTCTAGTTTTTTTATAGTTAGGGATGAGTAATTTTAAAAATACCTATTGTATTTCAGCCAGATGAGATTAAAAAGAGATAAATGTATGATATCTTAACACAATGTGACACCCATCAATCTCATCGAAGCTGTAACTCGAGTATCCCGAACTAAATAAAATGATTTGATTAAAAGAAAACAGGAGTGGTTACAGAAGAAGCAAAAACAAAAATAATAAATTAAATAAACCTACAGGATTCCTGTTCAGGGCTGGGAGGACGTGCAGAGGAGAGAGCAGGAGGAGAGGAAGAGGATGGTGGTGGTGATGATGATCGTGGAGGTGAGGATGACGATGATGATGGTAATGATGGAGATTCCTGTGATATATTTCCTGGGTTGATCCAGAAAGCTCGTGTTTTTCCTTCACCTTTTCATAGCCATACACAGTGGTGTTAATTTATACTTTTAAATGTATTCAGTGTCAATTTGTTGTAAATATCAAGTTTGTCTGTTATTTTTTATAAATTAATTGTATATATTTTCTGAATAAATATATTTGTTTGCTGAATGTCTGTGAAAACTGATTTTAAAAGTTACAATTAATTTGTTCCCTTTTTAGTCTCCAACATCATTTATTTTGCTCATGTTAAAGGGGTCAACAAAGAGAACAAAAATAAATAACACAAATTAAAAATAAGGTGCAAGCAAAGTAAAATTGTAAGATTGATATTAGTTTGTATGTATGTTGTAAAATGTGACCATGAACTGCAAATAATACCTACGTTAGTGACTTGAGAGAACATTTTGGTCCATATAAAACTTATTTCAGCCTAAAACAGTTAACTGCCATCCAGAAAACATTAATAAATACATGTTCTCTCACATTAATAGGAAATGAAACAAAAGGCACTCCAAATAAATCTCATGTAGCAGAAGATTGCTACATGAGATTTCTGCCCAAACATGAATTATTTTTCACATTTCTAGTATCATTTTGTGTGTGTTACCTTTCTTAGCGGCGCCTCCCTGCAGGTCAATCTGTGTACTGTCCTGACTGCTGGTGCTGGGTCTCCTCTCCTTCTGAAGCAGCTTGTCAACACGCTGGATGATGCACTCCAGAGACTTATCCACATTCAGCCAAACCTTCTCCTGAAAGGACACAGACACGCGCCAATGTACTAAATTTTTCAGAACTACGTAATAAAAGGCTGAGGAGCTAATAGAGAAATTACAGCAGGGAAGAGAACTTAGCCAGAGGGCAGATCATTTGCACGAGAGATGAGACGAATCGGATCAGTATGCAAATCAGTGAGCATGCCACAATTTTGCTTAACAAAGAATTATGTAATGCAAGCGAATGTAGCGCTTTGACCTCATTACATAACTACAAACTCTCTCCTGAGGCTGCCTGGAAGTAAAGATATAATTTGTAATAATTATGTTATAGTACATTTTCTGGGAATACAACTTTATAAATACAATAACCAGACTAAATTAACACTGAACAATATTAATGAATTCAAATATTGTCATTTATAAATATACATCTTTTACAAAGTACAAAGATCCACTTACTAACACATCTCACAGTCTTCTTCAGCCAATGTCTTTTGCTTAGATTCACTAATATATTACTTGTATAACTAATATTAACGTATTAAAAAAAAAAATCTTAAAATCTTAACCTTTATCTGGAATCTTAAGATACAATTGTGTCTAATGTACCCTTCAGAGGGGAATCTGTTAAATGTTTTAAGTCTTCTTCCCAACATTTTTAACATTTGTAGTACGGACTACAGCCAAGAATCTTAATATGAAAAAAATTCAAAATGGACGACATGAAAGTAATAAGTTTACATCTAAATGGGACCCAACTTTGTGTCAGAATGACATCAGATAACATTAAAACTGATATAAAACCTTTTCAGCCAGTTTTGATGATTCCTAACTAACTCATTAACTGACCCACTCCTCTTCATGCCAGTCAACATGCAGCGAGGATCGGCTGTTGCGACCGCTCCACTTGGCGAGCAGTGTGTCCTGGTCGTTACGGAGGACTACTTGTTCTGAGTCAGCGGAGGGAGACGCTTTGGAGGCGATGTACTCAGGCCGTGCTGCGTTCAGGGCCTGAATGGCTGAAGCCAGCAGCTTACAGTCGCATACGGTCACCAACTGACGAGTCTGAGATAGAGGAAAAGGATAATCTTTATATATCTAATGAGGAAGTCCAAAATAACATTCCCAAACAGAAGTCCTTTTGAATGATAAATGGTGTTAAAAGGAAAATACCTTATCAGCCAGAATGGCGAGTGTCCTCTCCAGTCCGCTAGCAGATCGATCCTTGGCAGCTCGGGAAAGCCTCTCGGCGTAGTAGCTGACCTGAGTCTTCAGCGTGTTGATGTGGGCGATGATCTCTTTGGCCCGGACGATGTCCTGGGGTATGTAGACGATGGACTGTGAGCTAGACAGTGCGCTGCTACAGAAAGCAGAGACATGTGGCTTTAGCAGCATGTCTGTATCCGAACGTACGCTGACGACACTCTCTTATATCCTCATAACATTTACTGTTGACTCTTAGAGCCTCCATCTAAGGGCTATAGATTTTTAAATAGATTTAAAAATGAGGAGAAGAATTGTTATTTGTCCTTTTATATGTCTTTCAAATACTATTTTGTTAATAACATAGCATTTGCATGCACATGCCTGTTCTCAACAATAATCAGTGGCTTAGGAAAATGCTACAGGTAAACACAAAGACAACATTAGACTGACTTTAATAAACAGGACTGGTGGTGATACCGTTCACTTTAGAAATTCAGATAGAATTTTAGTTCCTGTCTTTAAGGTCAGCATGTTTTTAAATCGAAAACAGCTATGACTGAATTTACAGAATGAGCGGTATTGCAACAAACTTGGTGTACTGTGTCATAAAATATCTAGGTTTCATACATAAGTGTGCTTGGTTGAGGACAACATACATTTTAGTTTCTTTCAAACACAACACTGTTAATACCAAACGCATCACGTGTCATTATGTGTTGCCGTTTACACAAGCTATGTGATGTCATATGAGAGCAAGTGTTTGCAAATCACATTCCTTCACCCTAAACCTGCTCACCAGTTCATCCACAATGCTTGGAAATCATTAGAATTTGTGTACAACTCAGAGAAACAGTGAAAGTATGTTTTTGTGGTGGTACAAGGCAGTGAGAGGCAAACAGTGTACGAACAAATGAAAACAAGCAAAGCAGTGCAACAACTCACCATCCTTCCTCATATACGCTGATCAAAAAAGTAACAAAAACAAAATTAAGAGGAAGCCATAGAACTGAACTGCAGAATTAATGCAATTGAAACAATGCATTCTTTTGTTTTCAATGTAAAACTGACTTCAGGGCAGCCAAATCAAAATAGATACATCTTTCACACAAAACAATTTCATATGGATCAAATCTGTAAGTAAAATAATGAATAAAAAAAAGGAGAGGAGAGCAGATATCACTGTGATTGAGGGAAAAAAACAAAACATGCAAATGTTTATCTTTTATTTTCCAACGAGATGGACATTTTTGGTCAGTTTCCAACTTACTGTTTCTTTGCCTCCTCAAACTTTTGGATGAGTTTCCTCAAACCGCTGTTTTTAAAACCTTGGCAGTGAGCCGCCGGAGCCCCGATTGTTACCACATCATATGTGTGTTCTGGAGAGGGAGAGAACCACAGGTGTTTTGAATTAATAATTGATAAAGTGTGAGTATTTGGGTATCATGGAGTGTTCATTTGGTCGTTCTTATGTCTCACCAAAGCCCAGCTCGTCCTGCACCCTCATCCTCTGAACGTGTAGGTTGGTTGGCATGAACTCAAGCTTCCTCTCTGCCTTCAGGTTACTGGCTTTGAACGATGGACCTGATGTGGAGTGGGCAGAAAGCGAGGGAAGAACGGGGCAAAATAATTGTATATGACAAACAGAACAGGAAACTTTGTTGGAGCTTGTTATAAAAACTTACTGTATGTGATGGTAATTAAGAAATCTCTGTGAACACTAACCTCTGTAGTCGTTGAGGTCCGTCAGCGTTTCCTGGTATGCGAGTATTATGTTCTGGTACTGAGAAACAATCTGTCGCCGCAGATTCTCCCAACAGGGGGATAACTCTCCAAGCTCCTCCAGCTCACACACCCTGGAGACAGAAAGTAGTTGTTAAAGGTTATAGAGAGAGAAATATATGAAATTTAGAGCACTAATATAGCAAATATATAGCGGAGTTATGGCTTCCTGAGCAGATAATGACGTCACACCCCGTCTCGCTGTGTTGATTCCCGAGCATTTGTAAGTCCCTCTGTCTGCAACTGTTGACTTTAAGGATAGTGAGTGAAACTGTTGTTATTCTCATCCATGCCGGTGAATTAAGGATTTATTTCCACCAAACCAGAGTTGGTGATTGTTGGAACAGCGAAAAGACTAACAAAGACTGTTTTGTTTAGTTTTATTTGGTCTCTGTCCAGTTTGAATGGAATTACGATGATCTGAAAGGTAAAATTACTGGGGGGTTTAGCAGTGATTTTTTATCACATTTAACTTGGTAAATTAATCATTAAACAAAGACTGTTTTACAATTATCTTCTACAGTAAAATTCCTGGTTTTGTTAATGGAGCCTGATGGGCAGTAGCATCCAGTTGTTTTGTTCTGACATGCTGGTGTGACATCTAGTAGCAGTTTTTGTACTGTATATAAACCCTTTGGGAAAAGTAGTAATTAGGTGGAAGAGGGGGATAAATTTGCTCAAAAATGTGCTCATATGTATGTAATTTTCAGATGAAGTGTATTAGAAATAATATTTCAAAAGTCATAAAAACTAGCAACCACACTGGCACATCCATGCTGACTTTGCTGCAACAAGAGGCTTAAGTTAAATGTTAGAGGTGAGTGTTTGTACCTGGCTGCGTCCTCCTCCAACAGCAGTTTGACAAACTGTCGGGGAATGTTCAATGACAGGACGCTCTCAGCCATTTGCTCCAGCACCCGTAGGTGGTTCCCACCAGTTGTGGGGAAGCGGTACATCCTGGACATCGTGCCTCCGAACACTGAAACCACAGAAAATTCAGTTGAATTCAGTTCAGTGGATTTGGTTGCTTTAATCAGACTTTTCAGTTATTTTTTTTTAGGTTTAGCATTAAGTTAATTTTAAATGATGTGATATTTGTTGATAGCTGTTCTTAATAAAGTTCTATTTTCTGTTTAGTTTTAGGAGTATAACATGCATGAACTGAACTCATGTATCAGGTTAGTTATAGCAATTTAACCATATAGAGTGATATAACTATCACACAAAATAAGAAGAAATGTGTTATAACATTTACAACATAAACAGCAGAAACGTATATGCAAGTAGTAAAACAAAAACACAAAATGAGGAGAACATGATACCCTGGCTAGTTGTACTCTGTGACAGTGCAGTTTTCACCTTTTGCCAGACGCTTAAACAAAAAGGATGCCCACCTATAATGCACATGTTATTAATGCTACTGTAACCTCTTATTTTTGGATCGGCAAGAGATCTCCGAGGTAAACAGATCCCTCCCTCTTAGTGGGTGACAATCAATACATTTCTACTTCATAATAAGATTCACGGTCTGATGTATCGGTAAACATGGAGCCAGCCGGGTGAGAGAGGTGGAGGATGGGAAGTGGAGGAAAACAGGTGGCGGGAAACTTTATTTCCTGGATGATAAAAATGTTCGCTTTCATTAAATTATCAATATTTATGTCCTCATCTATTTCACTCATTCCCTAATTATTTAACTTCTGGTCAATGTGGGATTATTGTATGGGTGTTGTTGAAGAGATCTTTTCATAAATGATGAAATAATATTTTCAAGGTGCAATATTGTACTAGTTTATGCAAAGAATGCTTCTTCTAACTTCATATTAGGCACAAAATAAGCCAGCAGTAAGTGAGATATTTTTATTGAAGACAGCTACATATGTAAAACAATTAAAAAAGCAGACAAGACTTAAAGCCACAGACTTCAGGATTCTTCTGAATTCTTCAACTTGGCTCTGTAATGGATTCATTTTGTTTATGTCTAGTGTTGGTGTTGGATTTTCATGAACAATGACACTTGATCTGCCTGTTTTTGCAGCTGAGAAGTCAGAAACTCCTACAGGCATGTGAAAGCAGCATAAAAACTGTTTTTGACAAAGGAAAACACAAGACGATGGATCCATTAACTCACATGCATCAAGGGAGGTGTCATACCTGAGCGCAGCAGGGTGTCTTTGCATAGCGAGGCGTACTTGATTCGGACTCCCATCGACTCGGTGAGGCTCTCGTCAACAGGCAGCATTGTCTACAGGACACACAGCGAGTTAACAACCACCTCCACCTGCCTGTCCACTCTTTCAGGCCTACACTCACCTACGCCACACTCTAACCACGCTGACAGCGCTCCCACACAAAGACAAATCCGCTACGATGAAGCATTTTACTGCACTGTGAGGCTGTGTGACATGTTTATTATGACATAAAGCAGGTTAAGTGAGTTTTGTTGAATTATACAGCACTATACATAGACACAGACGAACAGGAAGCACCAGAGACACATATGAACAGTTTTCTTTTACATTAGGTTAGAGTGGCTTTCATTTGCTGGAAAACTGACTCACTATATAATAAATATCCAAATCAACGGCATACACAAATAATTTGAAATGAACTCACACCTACAACATAAAATACTTTTCATACCTTTTATGTAACTACCTACAGTTTTAAAAATGGGGAGGGATTACAAGACACATCATTCAATGTTTTTTTGGTGTGAAAAAGTTTAGGAACCCCTGAGTTTGCTTCCTTTATTCACAATGTTTGTGTTATAAATCTTAAACCGAATACTCCCAGAGGACCGTGTCCCTCCCAGCGCCTCTTACCCGCCCGTTGATGCTGTCTGGCAGCCGGCCGACTGACATCCTCTGATCCGCTCTCTCCTCCATCTGCCAGGCAGCTATGGTGACGTTTCCCACCCGCTGGTTCTCCGCTGATCTGTCGAATGGAACACATTTACTTCATTTTTTTCATATCAGTGTATTACTGCTGTAACTAACAATTATCTATATTATCCATTAGTCTGTAAATAGTTTTGAATTTATGGTTTAGTCTATAAAATACCAGATAAAAACTGTGAAAAAACCCCTGATGATATTCAATTTACAATTATATAAAGCAGAAACAAGTACCTTAACTTAAAAAAATCTACCAAAAATCTTATTTTACATCCTTTTATTCTTGCAAACTAAACTGTTTGTTTGCACAGGAATAATATTTAAAGCAAAGGGAGGAAGGAAGGTAGAACATATGTTTGTGTTGAATATTTCCTGTATTTTTTTTTACAAGTACAGCATGTTGTACACTCTTTGGATCTTTAGCACCTGTGGTTGACAGTTTAATAGTACTAGGTTTAATCTTGGGGATCACAAATGTAAACCACCTTTTCTTATAGACCACTTTTTAAGATGCAAAAGTGTCAAGAAGGAAAAAACTGTTTATATCTGACAAAGAACAGAATGATCTACTGAGAGACACATCATCACCCCAGTGATAACATACTGTTGAACATACTGTTATTAAGTAGCTAAAAGACGTGAGTTACATCTCAGCATGACTACACGATATGTATGACTGTATAAAATGAATAAACTTTACTTTTTAATACAGCAGGAAGAAGCTAGAGGAGAGAGAGGGGAAGAGAGAGTGTGCGTGTGTGTTACCTCAGTTCCAGCTGTAATCTGTGGCTTTTCTCTTGCAACAACTCCTTCACAGGAAAAAGTGCTGAGCCCAACATATACATCTAAAAAGACAGAAAGACAATATGAATAATGTGTTATTATATGTATGTATATGTATGTATATATGTTATCTTGAATTTCCCTCTGGATAAATAAAGTATCTATATATCTATCTTATTTATTTATTTATTTCTTCTTAACTCAACAAGAAGCGCAGACATTGTTTGTCAGAATTAAAAGAGACGTTTAGAGGTCAGTGCGCTGCATCGTACCGTGCCCTGCGAGCGGTCCTTGACGTCGTAGACGGCCAGTTTCACCTGCGTCTGCTGGTTGATGTTGGACTCCTGGAAGAAGGCGATGCTGCTGAGGAAGATGGGGTTACTGGTGCCCTGTGGACGGAGGCAGTGAATCAGCATGACTTCAATGACATGACCGGTTTCATTAACACTTGAGAAGATGATCAGCTTAAGCGACATATCTCCCGAGTAAATGGTGATTGATGGTTTAAAAAGTTCCTTTGTACTCATCAAACTCTCATTTTCACAGAATTTTGACATTTTAAATAATCTGTGTTTTAAATGTAGAATTAGAGGCGAAACAATTCATCAGTGATTTTAAAGGATTTTCTGCTTTTCTTTGCCTGATGTGACAGTTGATGTCATACGATAAAAGATGGACTGAGAGTCTAAAGAATCTGACCTCGATGACTTCAGTCTGGGCGTGTTTGGTCCAGAAGGCCTGCGGTGGTGTTGTGCAGCTCACTGCTACAAAGCTGTTGGGTTTTCGATCCAAAGCAGGAGTCAGCAGGTCTGTGCAGGCTGGATGGAAAACACATAAGTCGACACTAAATGAGCCAAGAGGCATCTGAAACCCTCCTAATCCTCTAATACATCACAGTCATGTTTCTCTCTAGCTATCTCACTATATGGCTTATTATTTTCACTTTTATAACAAACTATCTAAAGATGATTCTCTTGAAAGGCAATAAAAGATGGACTGATATGATCATGGATGACCAATGAATTATTGATGAGTTCAAGTTGCTCTGGATGGATTGATTTTGAATGTTACTCACCCACACTGAACTCAATCACAGGCTCATCTGGGTCCTGACTGTTTCCTGGAAACAACCAGCGAGTCCCAACAAGCATTAGATATCACAAGAAAACAACCGCAACACATCAAAAACATCAATTTCCAAACTGCCTGAGACACCTAACTGCAATTTGGAGGTACTTTTACATTACTTTAGTATTTACATTTTATGCTATTTTGTACTTCAACTGAAGCAAACATTGTACTTTTTACAACAACATTTATGTGATAACTTTAGTTTAGTTCAATCTGTGGTACTGCTACTTCTTCCACTAGCAGCGGTTTTATCAGACTTGTCAATTATGGTGTTGTGGTCGTCCTTTTTTTTATACATTTAATTGAACAGCAGAGCTTAAAATGTATTTAGAAAACAATAACATCAAAACTGACAATCCCTGAACACCCTGAACATGTTCATTCAGGGTGGATGGTGAGGTAAAACCTATGGACAGACCAGAGGGTAGTATGTTCTTCTGCAGGTTTCACAAAGTTAAATTTAAGACTTTGTAATACCACACAGAATTAAACAGTTTTTCTTATAACCATACTAGCCACAGCATGAAATTATGATGAAAACCAGTAGGAACGTCACATTTTTTCCAGTATTTCCGAACAATTCCTATTTATAAAATAAAAACTTGTTCTAAGGTAACGAAAACACAACGATTCTTATCTTCAGGTGATTACACACTGATGAATATTATATGAATATGAATGAAATAGATCCTCCTAACATTTTACAGTTTGATCTCTTTCCCTCGGAGGTCTAATAGTCACTACAGGAGCTAAAACAAACTGTAATCTCAACGGATTCTCAGTGGGATATGTTGTGTATGTATGACAGATGATGAGAAGCCCTCAGGCTTCATTATGGTCTGCTTCAGGGCAACTGTGGTTGAAGAGGCCATTGGCTCCCACACAAGTTTAACACACTGCCAGCAGAGAGTGTGTGTCAGTGTTTAATTTTAGTTTTAGTGGTGCTGCAAGTGGCTAACATTAATGGCGTGCTGTATTTATACTGGGCATCTCTTGTGTTGTTGTGTTAAATATTGATTATTATGCTGTATTTATTAAGTTTATTGCTTACTGAGATTAACAGGGGCTGTACAGCACTTCTTGGATGTAGAGACACACACACACAAAGCATGTTAGAAATGATCTAAAATAAAATATATAAAAGATTCACAGATCAAACAATTAATCAATGGGCAGATGAATTCATACTGGAAATACTGGTAAATTGATGTTTCTCAATACAGCTTGTTGTTCGTTTTAATATTATTTATTTATTTATTTATTTTTGCGTTTTGAGTAAAGTATTGTTTTTCATGTCTGTTTTTATTTTTCAGAAAACCTCTGCGGAGAATCAACTTCCCCTCACCTGCGAGAGCCAAGCCGATCATCTCGTTGGACAGCTCGAATGTGTTGGCCCTGTACACCGACCACGGCCTCTGTATCCGGGAGCCGCGCTCTCTGCCCCCCGCCATGCCTGTCCGGGAAGAGCGGGCGACGGCAGGAGGCCTAAACACACACCCTCACACACACAGTCACGCACTCCCATGTGATGTGCCCCTCTTTCTGCGTGGATCCACGGTTGCTCTAGAAAGCGGTTCACCTCTCTAAAGGGAACGGGAGAAGAAGAGAGGGAGGGAGGTTGGATTAAAATAACATATTTAACAGGTTTTCACATTGTTTCTTCAGGTCAACATTTGCTTAATCCCCTAAGTATCTTGAAATGTATCAAGAGACGTTAAACAACAGTGCCAGGAAGCAACACTTCCCTCCTCCTTCGCTCTTTGGCATCAAAAACTCAGGATCAGTATGGCAGGAGTTAATGGTTCTGTTTGTATAGTTGTACATTGAAATCATAAAGCAAAAGAAAAGAAGTCAGAAAAAAGAAGTACGATTTGCACAAATAGACAAAGAAAGCCAGAGAGGCATCTAATCCAAAACATCAAACAAAAATATCATATTTAACACATATTTTTGACTGAGTGAAAGTGAAAGGCCCTGTTTATGGGAACTTGTAACACAAAATGGATCACATATGAAATGGCCTTTGTGGCATGAAAATCAACAGTATTATTACTGTATTGGCAAGAAACAAAAACAAAACCAAGTGTGGCTTCAACCGCATATGAATTCCAATGAATTCACGTAGTCAGTGATGCTAATGTGCCATTTGAACGCCTACAACAGGAGCGACGGGGGAAGCCTGAGGAGAACAGAAATAAGGAACCGGGTAAAGAAAGTGAGACAAGGTACAAAGCCGGCAAGAGACAAAAACACAAAGCAGACAAGAAAGAAAGTACGAACTGCAACTTACAAGGTCACGTAACCCGATCTTTACTCACATCTGCCACCTACACAGACAGCAGCTGAAGTTCTGGTTCTCATTATTTTATGTTCTTATTCTGTGCTCATATTCTACACAAACCTCTGCTGAGCCCAACAGGGTATTATTTTCATCATCTTCGCATCTTAAATGACAGAAAAAGGAATCGCACTGTCGGACCTAGCAACATTTTTGACTAATGTGAAAGCTGCAGTAGCAGATAGAGATAAAAAGTATGCTCAATATCTTCAATCTTCACATTTTATGCACAAAGGAAAATAAACTGTGAGACACTGTGACAGAGCGGTGTAATCAGGGTTAAAGAGGTTTAAAAACCCCTTGAACAACCACAATATTTATCTATATATCACTCATGCTGCACAAAACACATCAGACTCTATAAAACAGGCAGTGGAGGACATTAATTAAGGCTTCAAACTGATAAATAAGTTCTAAAATCTGTCAGTAACGCATCCTGTGAGAGGACAGAAAGCAGCCTTTTACTCACCGCTGTGAGATCTGTTGGCATGCTACTGAGCTGTGTCTGTGTGTGCACATGTTTTGCTGTATATAAACATGCACATATATCAGTGTACAGTATGTGTTGGCGTATATGGGAAAGCAAGTGTGTTTATCTGTGTGTCAACCCACTTAAAAAACCTACAAATTAGCATTTTCTGCTCACCAGAAGAGCAAGAATCATCATATGTTGATGTTGCTAAGAGACTGTAGGTGTTTCCTTAGGTCCTTCAGGTTTATACATTTATTTTCTTCTCTTCTTCCTTTGCTTTATGTCCATCTGCCTCCTCTCAAATGTGCCTTCTACATCCTCTTTCCCTCCTAGTTCTGGGAGTTTATGATCTTGTGCTCCCCAAATCTATCTCTTTATTTTTGCTGTTTCCTCCCCATTTTGTCTCTTTTGGGATCTGTTTCCCTGAAGGCTTTAGCCTGTGGATGAGCAGCTGTCCCATTCTTTGCCGTCTCTCCTGCTTTCGTTCCCTCTGTCCCATTTTGCTAAAGACCAATTAGCCTATTTGCAGCAACGCAGCGAGCGCAAGGGACAGTAGCTGGCTCAAATGGAGAGGCACCGTGGTCTACTTAGACAATACACAAAAGGAGATCTCTGTGGTCTATTCTGGTAGAATTATGCTCTATTTATTGTAGAAAAAGGTGTTTCAGTGATTCAGGTTTGGGTTAACATTACAGCATACGCCTCGTGTCAGAGCTGTTGTAGAAAAACAAAATGTAAATTCAGACAATTTACTTTAAACTAAACATCCAGACTGTTAAAAACTGGACTCTAAACTATATATCTTTTACAAACAGGCCCACAGAGTGATCTCCTTTTAATTGTGGTTCTGGGTTAATAGTTGGTGGCCTACTTCCTGATATGTGGTCCAATGCTGATCTCTTGGCAGTGCCTGATATGGCCCACTTCGGTCAGCTCAGATACACGTGCCCTACATCTGTCGCTGCAAACATCTGGAGCACTACCTGAAGTCCTTTCTGGGTGGAGGAGCATCTACCTGTTCGCAGGAAAGTTTAGATTTCCCTACACGCAGGATCTGTGCAACTATTGTCTACTGATGCTTTAAAGTGCTTGTTCCTACAGGTCTACAGTTTGACATTTAATTCAATATTCATCTGGAACATCGTATTCCTGTCACACCTGCACACAAACAGGAAAGATTTTGACTTGAGGCTCAATCTTTGTAAGTGCTGGATTCACATCAGACAAACAGAGTAATGGAAACCTCCTTTGCCAGAACTGAAATGTATGCTGGGGATAGAAAAGTAGAGGACACATCATCAGGCAGAGGTGGAGGATGAATGAAAGAGACAAAAATGTAAAGACTGCAAGATGAGACGACTAAGACTTCTAGATAATTGAACAGGCGACATACCTGCCACATCTCTGGAGGGAGTGTCGAGTTGTTTGTGCATTATTCAATATTCATGGAACAACATGAGCTCTGACAGCGGGGTTGGAGGCAAACACAAGAAGACACATACTTTTGTGATTAGATGGAAGTGGGGGCCTGCACAAACACTCATCAGCCTGTAGGGCTTTTTAGCTGAGCTGTCTGAGTGCTGTGCTGATGGGAAGAGTCACAGGCAAGTAAATAGAATAGTTTAGAGTGTACGCTTCGAATGAGGAAAAGAAACAGGTGAGCTAAAGTCAAAGGGACATGGGACAGTAATAAACAATAGTACAGCTGCAGCTGGGTCTGTCAAAGGCTACACCAGTCAGTGCGGCTCCAGCTCTCTCTCACTATAGATTTATGAATCACATGACGCGTGGACAACAACACACACACAGCACGCACGCACACACAGTCCAGATCAAAGACTACAGCTCCTGGTCATTGTGGCTCTGCTTCATCTAATGGTGATATATCAGCAGCTTCCATAAGCTCCTGCTAAAATACGACTCCTTATGCCAAAACACCCCGACAAATATCGCAGGTTCAAAGGAGTTATTCTCCTTTTAAAGCGCCCTCGGTCTCCAGTGTTGAGTTCCCGGCGGCAGGCTGGCTATCTGATAGATTTAGTCCAACTTGCAGTTACAGATCCCCAGAGGGCCATATAATAGGAAAAGAATGGAAAACATAGACTGCACGGATTAAAAAAAACATGGATTTGGATCAGTTCAGATTATCAATCTAATTTATTTATTTATTTAACTTCTAACTTTCAGGATAAAAAGGGTGGGTGCTTGGAAAGTTTCAGAGGCCCTGCACTCCCCAACAGGTGCATGAAGTTATTCATGTTGATGGGAACAAAAAGTCTTATCAGCTAAAATAAGCCTAGTACATGCATCATACTAGTTTCAATACATCAGCTGGTACAGTATGCCAAGAAAAGGCTGTATAAAATTTCTTAAAATCTTTCCTGCTTTTATTCTGAAAACCAGATGCATATTTTAGAAATCCTGCATTGACACTTGCCTTGAATTATGTGCTCAGTGTATTAAGTAATGTTTTGCCATCCTTGCTTATGGATTTCCAACTAATATCACGACCACATACACACGTTTCTACCACGTTCTGGTAGCTTTTTTATAAATTGAACATAAGCAAACATGAATGTATTCAAGGAAATGAGCAGACTAGGTGCATCTCTGGTCTTTGTTCCCAAACCTGGAAGGAAATTTCCAGTCTCTCAGCCAACTGGAGTCACATTTTCCACTCTCAAAGCCAAAAAACATCATGGTTTGAGGGCTTAAGACAAGCACTTGCTTCCAACTTTCCTTTATCAAAAATAAGTTTCTACACATCATCCCATTTCCAAATCACATTCTTTGTTCACAGACATCAACTTCTTGAATTTATTTTAAGTTATTGGTCTGACTTTTGTCTGTCAAACTTTTCATCACACTGAAATGGTCAAACATGGTCAAATCACTACAAAACCATTCCTCTCTCCTGCAAGTTTCAATTAAACATGCCTCCTAACGCCTTACATTCAGCACAAATCCCTCTGTGTGTGACCCGCAACAGACGGCAGATTTAACACCTCAAATCAATTAAGTAGTTTGGCACGTTTGGGAATTTACTATCTTGCCAAACAGTCCAGTGATGCCAAAATATATATATATATATATAAATATCACAAGCAGCAAACACGAGGAAGTGTAACTCCTCTCTGAATCCATAGCAGCACAGAAACTTCACTGAGGGGGAAAAGCTGCCATATAAGGGAGCTCCAAATTTAGCCTGGCGTGTCAGTGTATGTGTAGGTTTGTGAGTCACATGAATTGGGGCACACACACACACACACACACACACACACACACACACACACACACACACACTCTGTATAGGCCACAGTAAATCCGGGCCACAGCTCCTGACACATAAAACCCCAATCCAGGATTCACAAAGTGGATTTTGGCTTATTAGGGGTATAAACATGCCTAAAGAGTCATTAACAAAAGCAATTAGAGGGAGCTTTGAAGTAAGTTTTATTCTGAAATGCTACAATTAAAAAGAAAAAAACACTCAAGTTTTAATAATAAAGGATAATCTGTGTATCATGCTTTCACTAGCCCAATATGGATAATTGCATTAAAAATAGGCCACATTGTGCTCAGTTCTTCCACAATTCTTCAAACAGGGAAGACGAGGCAATGTTGGGATCGTACAAGGCTTCTGACCTTGACGCTGGAAGTGCTGTTTCTATTTGGTCTCCAACCAACAGTCAACATTGACTTGTTTTTTTAATAATAGCAACAATCTAGTCATTTCTTCTTGTTTTACACATTAAGCTAACCCTCTTATCTGGAGTACCTGTCAGTGAGCCTTGGTTTCTTTTAACCCTGCCTCTCTAATCTCTTTGAGTATCTTGATGATTCATATCCCTTAAAGCTAAAAGGTTATATAAGTCAATAAACCATAATAATTGAAGAAAAAAAAAGGATTGAAATTGAGTCACATTTAAAACATACAAAGATTTGACCTGTTTTATCATCATTTTATTAAATGAAAACAAAAAACATAGTGATTTAAAAGATTGCTGGATAAAGATAACTGCTTGAACTTGAGGTTGCAGGTCAGAAAATCCTCATATGGGTCGGCAAAACAATCTCCTCACAAGATTGATTTAGTATTTGTTGAATGATCTGGTGTTTAGGTTGGAGGACTGGTTGGACAGGCGTTTCAAATCATCGGCCGAGAGAGTTTCAAACAAGATTTATTTTGGCAGCACAAATCTGCAGCATGTTGTGAAATCAGATATTAAAGCTTTAGGAAGAAGTAGCCATTAAAGGCACTCAGGGAAACCGTAGCAACACAATGAATCAGAGGTTGTTAAAAGTAAGTTGTGGGAAGGTTTTTAGGAAAATGGCAAAGAAGTTCTTAACGGTGAAGGAGACGGGGGGAAGTTTGGACGTGGTTTTAAAGGTTTTCAACCCTTATTGTTAGCCTTACAGGGAGCGCTCGTCTTCTCTGCTTGTGTATATGTTATGTGTAACTCTATGTGGGTGTGTTTGAAGCTTGGGTCTTAGTTTCAAGATGGACCGAGAGAAAGAGAGACAGAGTGCGTGAGACTGAGAGTCCAGTTGACCATACATGGTGAAACCCCTTTTTACAGCTTCCTCTTTGCCAAGAGGCCTTTCACACACAGAAGACAAGGCATCACACCACACGTTTTCTGTGTGTGTGTGTGTGTGTGTGTGTGTGTGTGTGTGTGTGTCGGGAAACATCTCGTCTCAGACTGGACGATGTGTTCTTCTACATTTGGTTCTTCCTTGACGCAGTTCACACAATATCCAACAGCAGAAGGACAACTCCAAAACAAAATAAACACAACATCCCATAAGTTCATTCATCAACCAGAGGACGCAGCAGATGGTGACTGATGAAGAATGGTGCAATTTCAAGCACATACTTGATATTAAAAAGGCCAAGTTGCTTCTAGTTACTTTATCTATTGAAATGTATGATGAATTCCTAAAATGTGTTCCTCCCCTTTACGTTTTCTTTTCAACCACATGCCACTGAGGTCCAGCTGACTGCAGTGTAAACAACAACAGAACGAAGGGAAACTAATTTTTTAACGATTATTGTCTTTTTGATTATTTGATCAATTGTTTGGTCTATTAAACATTATTAAACAGTGGGAAAAAGGTGTCTTCAGATGTCTTGTTTTGTCTCACAAAAACCCAAAAATATTCAGTTTACAGTCATATAAAAGAAAGAAAAAGCAGCAAATCCTCCACTGGAGAAGCCAGCAGCAGTAAATGGTGGATATTTGTGTTTGAAAAACGACTTAAGGAGTTATTCAATTATAAAAACTGTTGATCGATTACTCTTCAGTTGTTGTAGTCTGGTCACCAAGGGAAATTCCCATGGTTCCCCATCACTTCCCCGCCGCTGCACGCTAACTAACATGCACCAGTGTGGGCATTTACACGGCTGTTTCTTTTATGTGTGTATATAAAGTTAATACATTTTCTCTTTTTGGAATTTGGATTTATATATATATATATATATATATATATTTTGAATAGAGGACCCTGATGTAGGTAGAACTGAAATCTAAAATTGGATATCAAAGGATTAAAAGACAGCAGGAAGTGAAAGGTTCAGCACACACACAGAAATCAGTAATGTGTCAGTGTACTTGGTACAAAGCCCTTGTCTGTTCATACCAACAAATCACCGCCTCTGCTCAGACTGACATGTAATACGTGATGAGACTGCACAGCGGCTGTCTGACTGTTACGCCCGTTCAGAGGAACCGTCGGTGAACGCGACCGTCAAAATGTTCTCGTCACTCTTGCCCAATTGGTTCACAGTGCGTTCTGTTACAATGTGGAGCAATGATTCATCAAAACACTCAGTATGTGATTATAGTAATGATTTGTTATCACTGTCTTTGTGACGCCTTTCAAGTTTTAGTTGTGAGCTGATAACAGATTTACTGTCTTCGTCTCAAAGTAATCTTTCCTTTAGTAAAAAATACTTAAAATGAAGTAAGTCGAGTAGGTTAGTTAGTAGAATATTAATAATGATAAATACATTTTCTCTGATGAACTATAGCACCTAAACAAATTAAAGAAATCTGGCACATGTACCTGATGACTGTCCCAATCCCTGTATGTGTTTTGATGCAATGTTTCAATTGAAAATTAACAAATGAACCTTTTCTATGACTAAAAAGATGAAGGGAGAATGCAGCCTTAAGTGTGTGTCCTGGTTCAACTTGTTTTCTAATGCTGTTGAATGCAGAAATAAGGATGTGTATCGAGTAACAAGCCAGATGAACAAGTTGACTTTTTAGGACTCGTGCCAACATATTTAAATCTTTGTATCTATTCTGAAATATTATCACAAATCTGACAAGTTCCAATTTATTCTGCGATCACTGAGAATGTGCTTTTAGAAAAACACCACTTGTGCCCTCGTAATCATGTTATATTTACTCACAGTCTATTGATGGGATGAAGAAGAGAAAGTAAGCTGATCCAGGTTCAGTGAGGAGGATCTTCCAGACAGGGCAGCGAGTTCACAATCTGAAAAGACATCAAATACAGGAGTTTTTACACATGAAAGTACAGCTAATATCTGTAAACTGTGTACAAAATGTCAACATTTCTTGTCATTACAAGCTTGTTTTTGTTTGTTTCTCCATTTTACCACTATAAGACCAAAAGTCCAGTCAGCAATTATTGAGAGGCGGCCATAATTGCTCACTTTCTAAACCACAGATAACAAAAATGAAAAATAAAAACAGAGCAGTTCTGTCGAAAACAGATTTGCCCCCATGTTGCTCGATTGAGCTAATAATAGAGGTGTTCCCTGTGTGTGTGTGTGTGTGTGTGTGTGTGTGGACCCTGTGGGATCAGCATTAGAATAAAGCATGAATAATTTCTTTAGAGGGACGGAGCAGCTGTAGCCCTTTTCACATGAAAATGAGCATCGCCCACACCCTCAAACACACACACACACACACACACACACACACACACACACACACACACACACACACACACACACACACACACACACACACACACACACACACACACACACAGAGCTATTCAGAGTTTCTTCCCTCACTTTCAGTCACGTCACTCATCAATGATAATTACACAATAATAATCATAATCTTAGAAAATAACTAACAACAGATATTCCCAATGAAAGAAGCTGTGATATTAGATGCTTTTTGTGTCCTGATATTTTCTGTAAACTCAGATTAACTTACTGGAATATGCCTCTAAAATATTCTATAGACCCGAGCAATAAATCAATATAACATCGATACTGTGATTGCAACCATCTCTTGTAGTAATAAAACTGTATTTGGTGTTACCGTGGTAACCACAGGTGCAGGGGCGTTTCCAGGCCTTTATGACTGGGGGGCTGTCACTCCTCAATTTATGCAACACCAACACTGTTTAGGGACCCCAGTGTGCAGAAATATTCAAATACACTATGTGCAGAAATAACACATTTTATACCACATCCTGTCATACAATCAACAAAGTCTGAAACCTTTAAAAAGACTAAAAGTCTTCAAGCAAACTGAGCTGCAACAATCAGAAGCAAAGGTGGTGTAATGTTCCAGTAAAAGCAAGACAAACTACGCAGCCTGGTTCTTTATCTGCTAACAAAATGACATCATTTGGCACAATGTGTTCCAGGACTCGACTGACTTTTCAACAAAACTGTTGACGCCCAATTTTGCTACAAAAAGGAGAGTATAAACCTCACTCAGAGCGTGAAACTGCTTCTTGCTCAAGTTAGCATCACTTCCTTCAGTTGTTTTCAGGAAGTGTCTTTAAAGAGTCAGTGTGAAACCTTCCCTCTGGTTGCCTGCATTATATCGAGCTGCTTCACAATGACCTACGTGTACTAAGTCTTAACTCAAATTACAAGAGCCACATACACACACACACCACTGTGGTGAGAAACTTTAGCAGGTTAAAATCACTTTCACTCTTTGTTGCACTAAGTACTACAGCAGAGATACTTTCCCTGGATTGAATGAATGTTTGCGATGAGAAGCACATGGTTTTAGATGATCCAGTATAATGAGACATCACCTTGATAAAAGCAGCATCATTGTCTATCATATAGATAATGTTGAAAGAAAACACTTGAAATAGGTTAAAGTGCAGAGGAAGAAAGTCTACTGTCTTATTCACTACTCTTTTTAGAAAACTGTTGGGGGATTTCCTTCCACTGACCATACCTAGAAATAAAATGAGTGCAAGTGCAAGTGTGCAGGAAGGTGATTTTTTACATTAGCTCCATGTCTAATGCAGCTGTGAGAGTCACTGTGCGATCAACAAAGACCGACTAGCTTCTGTGGTCAAACACAAGATTCTGAAGTGTTTGAAAGCAGAAGTGAGCTGAGAGGCTGAAGTGACGAGTTTCTCTTTGACTGCCACCACTTCTCACAATATGAAGACTTGCTGACATGAAGCAGAGGGTTTAAAGTCATGGAATATATATTCCGATTAATCCAGATGGGGGACATGAATGACTGAATTAAATGGAAATACATCGGCTATTTGATGAGACATTTCCACAGACCCACGACGCTCGTGTGGCTAAAAATGGGGTGATGTCATTTCACTGGCCTCTTGTGCAAATCAGATTTTGTCCAGGGTGTCAATCAAATGGCCCAACACCAACGATATCTGCTGTATTTATTTATTATTTATTACCAAACAGATCCACGTGACCATGACCTCATCTGGCCTGAGGAGATGTGGGCATCAGCCAATGACTCATCAGAATGAGGAGACAACCCCCCCACCACCACCACCACCAACTGAGAAACGCTAATATATTAAAACAACTCCAAATGTGTGTCTGTGTCATTCTGGACTGTAAATGCATTTATAAAAATGATGCTTTTAAGAATGAAAGCAGTCTAACAGGTTTGTTTCATGTCTTTGTTCCTGGTTTTGCATGAGAGGCCAGTGATTGAGCCTCCAGCCATCTGTGGCACAAAGACGCCGTCTGCCAGGACGGACATTCGTCTGCCTCATTCGTCAAAGACATCATGTTTAACATCACACTGCTGCCGGGCGCTCTCGCTACAAAAAGACAGGCTGGAAAACAAAACAAAAACAGTGTCACACGTACACACATGTTGCTCAATTAATTAAAAAAGATGCTCTGATATCTTTACTCGTTTTCAAATCTCTTTTCTGTTATACCAGTATGACTTTACTGGTGTCTGGATGAACGTGCGTCTTGGGTGAGCCGATCACAAGTGGGTGTGAATCAACCCAAGACACGTTGAGAGAGAGTCCATACAATGATTCAGTCTACTACTTCTTTTCATTTCTGGCTGTCGTGCATTGGTCACTGTTGACCAGGGGTACACAACCCGCCGCTCCAGAGCCACAAGCAGCTCTTTAGCCCCTCTCCGGTGGTAAATGTGTAAAAATGTATATTGAAATTAATCATGTTTATTATTCAACACTTTCATTTTTCATTGTTGTAGGCGTCTACTAAAAAGTGTGTCGTATGTCACGTCCTGACCACCGAACAGTGGCTCTTATAGTAGATGGTGGAGGTTGCTGACTCCCTGCTATAGATGGACGTGGATCGGAGACGAACTTGTGATCTGACCACCCGAGTTGCGTGTCAATGAGGCCTGTAAACCCACATCTACCTCACCAAACTGACCAGTCTGGGGGTGACACAGCTTTTTTTGTGCACTGGCATTTCTCTTTGGGTTTTAGTTTCATTTGCGTTTCACACTGTTAACACAAACTGATCCAACATCAGGTGCAGGATTGTGGAATATGGCTTAGTTCAAACCAAAAATTAAATTTAAACTAGTAAGTAAACCCTTCTCACAGATCCACTTATGTGCCTAAATCCGTCCCGTACTAGAGCACCATGCTTTTAGCCAGCACATTCGAGTAGAGTAAAGTAGTCTCATGACTGCTGAAGTAGTCCTCTGGGACCACCCTGAATCAAAAGGTCAGAGGGTTAGGATCAATAACTGTGCCACATACATTTGAGAGGGTACTACAAAAAACCCTCCTGCTAGAGCTACAACGATTAGTCATTTTTAAAACAGAAATTGACAAATACTCACTAATTTAAGCACCTAATTGTAAAGACTTGTGTTATTTCTTGAATTATTGTTGAGGAATTGAGTAGGAATATATTATATTAGAGCTGTGTGATAGAGAAGTAATCCAATTCCTGTGGCTGCGTATACGCTGCATTGACACTGTAGTAAAACATGGTACAAGTGTCTTTACCTAGTCCTGAAACTGTACTACAGCAGTCTTAGTAAACACTATCCTCTTCATCTTTGTTGTCTCAGTGCAGCAAGGAATCGCATGATTGGTTAAAAGACAACCAATTAGCATCCAGCATGATTGTGCATTTTCTCCCAAAATGCCCAAACGCAGCTTGGATGTCATTCTCAAGACATGAAACCAGCATCGCGGTCCAAATCTGGGCGATGATGGTCAAAATGACGGCTAAAGAGTTCACACACACACACACACACACACACACACATACCCGAGGACGTCTGCTCCGCTCTGCCTGCTGCCGATGGATGTAAACAAACTCACGCTGCAGACGCCGTCACGAGGCAAAGAGACTGCAGCTGCCACCAGCGCTCGCCCTCTCCTCTTCCTCCAGCTCCCATCTCTCTTTCTTCCTCCCCCTTTACTCTCTCTCTCTCTCTCTCTCTCTCTCTCACAGAGCTCGCTGCTTCCCAAACATTCAGGCCAATTAACTCTCTCTCTGCCTGGTCTGCAGTAAAAAAAAACAGCATCTTCTCTTCCACTGTGGATTCAACAGACACTGAACATGGAATGGAAAACATCAACAATCTGTCTGTAGTTAACAGTTTCATACTTGCTATGGACAAGCTTTTATCACTACTAAACAGATACTCAGCCCTCCTTATTGCCAATATTTATTTAAATCAATATCTTCTTGCTATATAGACAAATGTGATCTTCACTTATATAAGATACTAAAGTTTACCATCCTATATGATCAGCATCAAACGCATCAAATCCTCACATTTGAGTAGTTGGTTAAATAGCTGGCTGCATCCCAAATATTTCCATCAATAAATAAATAAATCAGAGAGAGTGACATTAATCTTAAAACGCCTCAGACAATAGATATTTTTTGCAGTGGAGATGGCTCATACACAGAAACCATGGGGGAGACAAATCACGTTTTAAGCCATGCTCCATGTGGTGGTCCTATCTTTGGCAACACACACACACACACACACACACACACACACACACACACACACAGGTTCCACTCTTCTTTTTGATGCCTCTCCATTCCCCCCCAAACGCTCATCAATAATTAATGTGTCTGTTGAGAGCACCCATCAGCAGACCAGTGTGTCTCTGTACAGTGAGACCATCCAGGCTGAATACGTCTACGTGTCAACAAGGTTGCGTGTATCTGTGCGAGACACTGAAGAAAATGGGGGCTCACAATTTACAGGGAGCGAAGGATGAAAAGGAGAGATTGTCTAGAGATGTTTTTGTAACTTAAAAGCCTTGTGCAAAGAGAATCTGAGAAAGGGAGTGCCTGCTGTTAATAATTAAGCATATAATGTTGGCAAACTGGATGCAGAGAGAAGAGAAAAGAAACTACAAAGGAAGATTTAACTCTTTTACTGAGGCGGCACATAAATTATAAAATAACAGTGAAATGAATGCAGAAAAAATAAGGAAAATACATATATTACATCTTAAAACTTTGCTTCTTTTTCAAGTTATGTTGCATTTTATTTTCAAAGACTCAACCCTTGAATTTATCTTGTCATTTGTCAATTGTTTGAGTAATTTCTTAGGAACAACTGTGAGAAACTGACTGGTTTCAGCCCCATTAAACAACTGTACACCCACACGGGGAACTGACCTGCAACTTGTGATGTGGGCCACGCCCCGTTGTTGATTTTTGTTCCTCATAAAAATAGTGAAATGTACAAAAAACCCAAAGTCAAAGTCAAATCATCAAATAATGCTTAACTTATTTGTCCGAGCTTCTGCTTTTGAACCCTAATGTTTTTAAATGGACTCTGTTAATACTTGCTGGCACATTTGTTCTCATGTTTGCGGTTAGGAAAACACTAACTAAATGTTATGAGGCTGATGGTTTATGGTGAAGAGGATGACACAGCTCATTATCTATCCACCTGACTCCTCCTCACTGTGTCAGCTGTAGGCGTCTCTCCATCCATCTTCTTTAAAACCAGAGCGGAAGAAGAAGCATTAAGACGGCGGCACGCGGCTAACGCGTCTCTGCTCTCACACACGTGTTTGTTGGCGTTAAACGTGTACGTGTGCATGACAGAGGAAGACACAGATGAGGATGAATCAACAGGCTTCTGCTCGACCCTCTTGAGCTGAGTGGGAGAGTTTGATGAGTCACCACACACACACACACACACACACACACACACACACACACACACACACACACACACTCGACGGAGACAGAGGAGAACACTAACCATGTGTTTTCCAATCAAATCACACTCAATCAATACAGATCGGACAGAGTCAACGACATAAAAACAACAACAAAATATGCTTCATCTCCTGTCTGTTCAGTAAAACCAATTAACAGCTAAAGTCACTCGAGATAAAACCGATTCTCTGACTAATCTTTATTAATTAAACGGATGGCAACCATTTTTATAGAACGTTTACTGTCTAATTTGCTCAAACTGCAATGAAAAGCTCGGCTGATGTTTGGTTTTTGATACAGAAACACTGTCTGGAAGCAGCTAACATTTTTTGCATTATACATGACTTAAATGACTAATCGGCGTCAAAACGAATTAGTTAATTGTTGTCACGCTGCCAGTAAATGGCTAAGCAGAGAACAAGAAGAGGATAATAAATGTGGAAATTAATAGATACATGGAAAAGGATCCCCACAAACCGCTGTGTGTCCAGTACATGTGACACTACATCTCCCACAGTGCCACTTCCACACATCAAATCTGTTTTTCCTTTTACGGTCTGAGCCAAAGGAGTGACGGATGTTTGGGTTGGGGAGGCAGAGAAAGTGACAGGAAATGGGTTTCACGTGGAGCTGCATTAGGAAATAAGAGCAAGGGGGTTTCCTGGACTACAGAAAAGGAAAATGTGCGGATATGTGGTGCAGAGCAAAGACGCAGAATGACTTTTAAATCTTTGGTTTTTCCTCCCTCAACTTCCTTAAAACCCCCACAAGCAGCCAATCACAGTTTCTCATACCATAATCCCCTAATGTATGACTATAAGCACACATTCACACACAGGTCACAAGGTGACACTGGGGGCGGCTCTGGCTCCAAAAGCTAGAAACAATGTCCATGTCAGAAACAAACTTGTGACTTCAGGCTACATACTGACACTCAACTCTTAACCTCCCCACTCGAAGCCACTTCTGGAGTCAAACTTCACACACACACACACACACACACACACACACACACACACACATGAGGGCCTCCTTTTTTTTTTAAAGCAGGTCACTCTCCTCCTCATAGAAAGGGAGCATCATCAGCTCCCTGGTTAAATCGATGTCCACGCTGACCTTGACTCCCCTGCACAGCGAAACTCAACACCAGTGGGATGGCGAGCAGGGAGACTGCAGTGAAATATGTGGGACACAACATGCAAACACACACACACACACACACACACACACACACACACACACACACACACACAAGAGAGAGGAGTCAGCACATGTCAGCATCCAGACACACATCCTGCATGCACACACACACAGTCAGCAAAATCTGGTATTCTCACACACACACACACACACACAAAACACACACACACTGCCACTGGGAGTGTGGAGCAGGATGATTCACTGCACATATCATAAAATAATCATGCCAATAAATACTGTATGCTCACACACACACACACACACACACACACACAGATGCATGCAGGTAAATGCACCCTTTCCTAACTAAGTTACGTAATCCCAGCGGCAGCAGGGTTTCTCGGGGCTGTGACCCGCCTGCCACACTCAAGGAGCCACTTATGCACTACAACACATCCCATCAGAGGAGATTCCTCATATTATTTAGTTTTAATTTATATTCTTTAGGTACTTTACCGCCATTAAAACCAACATCCAACCCCATTTAACGCGGTTTATTCGCCTTTATGGTCCCGTCCTGCTCTGGCGTTAGTCCTGCCTGTAACTTCCTCCACTGCTGCCTCTGCCCTGTCGTTTATCAGCCATATGCGCCATAAATATGAGTCAACTCTGTTGTTGTTGTTGTTGTTGTTGTTTACTCGAACTAAAACTGAACCAGCTTCCGTTTCTCAACTTAACCGTTAACCGTTAAACACCGAGCAGCCGTTAGCCCCTATGCTGACGTTATGCTCCGTGTTTTGAATTAAAACGAAGCATAATTAGCCATTACTCACCGGGTCAGCTGCCTGTTGTGTTAAAATATCCGTTTGTTGGGTAACAGACAACTGTTGTGAGGAGACCCACTGCCGCACTGTGTCTGTGTGTCTGTCTGTGTGTGTCTGTGTTGTGTGTCTCTTCCTCTGGCTGTAGCTGTAGCAGCAACTGACGCTGGCCACGCCCCCTGCGCGGCACGTTGTTGAGGTCATCACGCAGGCTCGTACGCAACACGTACATTCTTTTCAAAACTATGAGAAATGTTGTGTTTTTTTTTTTTTTTTTTTTTTTTGGCTTTTTGGGTTAGACAGACAGGGAAAACGAGACTTAATAGACTTTATATATTGTTTTTTTGTTTTTCTTTCACACAAACACATAAAAAATAAATAGAAAAAGGACAAAAAGATTAGATAAGATAGACTTTATTGATCCCACACTGGGGAAATTCACATGTTAAAGCAGCTCCAGGTAGAACACAGCCGATAAGAAAAAAGAAATACACATTAAATAGCTAAATAAAATAGAAAATTACAAGATATATATATTTTTTTCACACAGATGTGATTGATATAGAATATTGCACAGGTTACAACAGGAAGTAGTGGCATGGTGTTAAAATACTACTAATAATAACAGCATAGGACAATATATATATGTAATTTAGCAGAAGAATATAGCCTAGACATGGCTATGAATATACAGTACAGGTCTAATTCTAATAATGTGTGTGCATACATATTTAAAACTGTACAGTATATGCATAAATACAGTAGCAGTATCAAATAGTGCAAAAAGTGGGTGTGATAAGTGTTGACACCACAACAAAATGTGCCTTATTTGGCCACTGTATGTATAGTAGTGTCTTGGGTATGAAACATTGTTTAATTAATTCATTCATCTATCAATTATTACAACTACTAACAGGTAATTATATTGACAATTACATAATTAAACCTATTCACACTTGGCCATTCCCTATGTAGAACTACTGTTCCAAAAGCAAGTGAAGTACAGTTGTCTTCTACCGCCACCATGTGGACTTTATGTGGTATTGCAGGTTTAACACCTGAGTTAAAACTTGTAAGCTGTGCACTAATTGCTATGTTGCATGTTTGTTTTTTTTATTTACTCTGAATCATAGGTGTTAGATTGGGTTTAATAGCATCACACCAACATCACTGTTGTCTTTTCACGTGTCATTACTGTGTCCTTATGGGCTCCACCCAGTAGGCAGGGCACATAGGTGATGAGACAAGCAGGTTCAGCAACAGTTGAAACCAGAAATTAGTTGCACCTTAGGCTGGATCCTGTTAAGACTGTTCTGAAGGAGGACTTCAATGTGAAGTCATTTTTTTCAATTAAAACGTTGATATTAAATTGCTCTGGACATGGACTGGAGTAAAGGAGCAGTTATGCCTTGTTTTTTGAAGGCCACATCCTTCTGAGGCTACACAATTGTCTTTTTTTTCAATGTCCTGGGACTTATTTTCAGTGTTTTATAACTCACGTTGGAAATACCTGAGATCTGTGTTGACCAAGTAGAAATGGGGACCTCTGTTTTGTTTGGAGTCAGGACTGAGAGAGGAGTCTTTTTCATGTTTCTGCTCCTCTTTCTCTGCTGTGTTGGAGGGAAATGTGAGCTTCAGGAGTCCAAACCTGCACCACAGACCAACCTTCCCACCGTCAAACCTTTCCCCAATGAAGCCCAGGCCTTCCCCAACGAGGAGAGGGCCAGCCTGCCTGTGTTTACTATGGACTACCCTCGGATCCAGGTCCCCTTTGAGTTTACACTGTGGGTACTGCTGGCATCTTTTGCCAAAATTGGTACGTTTGGATGAATTGTGTTGAGGTTTATGTTTGTGCATGAAGAAATAGGGTTTGTAGCAGATTCATCTTTGCATTGTCTTTTCTAATCTCCAGGTTTCCATATTTACCATAAAATCACCATCTGGATCCCAGAGTCCTGCCTGCTGATTACCATCGGCCTCATCGTCGGTGCCATCATGCACGCAGTAAAAGAGGAGCCCCCCGCTGTCCTCAGCTCCAACGTCTTCTTCCTCTACATGCTGCCACCCATCGTCCTCGACAGCGGCTACTTCATACCCACCAGGCCTTTCTTCGAAAACATCGGCACGGTGCTGTGGTACGCCGTCGTGGGAACTCTGTGGAACAGTATCGGCATCGGGCTTTCCCTCTTCGCCATCTGCCAGTTTGAGGTGTTTGGACTTCAGGATATCAGCCTGCAGGTCAGTTAAGGCCACAGGAGGCTCAATGGTGCAGTGATTTTAGGTGGAGATTGTGATCAAAGGGGACTTTTTACAGATTGCTGTATTTAAGTCCTCTAACTTCACATAACCTCATTGACTAGTGGATCCGCGCTACATGAGCAGACCAATAGTGTGATGCAGCCAACTAGATGGCCCTGCTGATTGGAGGAATTACTCGGGTGACGTATAGTAAACAATGCAATTGAGTTGTGAGTACTTGAAAAGTGTTATTTTATGATTACATTATCCTTTGGCTTCTGTTTACAATTTAACAAATTAAATTCAGGTTTTAATCGCCATTTTGAAATCTGTGTAGTATCTTTAATGCAGTATTATGTTTTAATTGTGCAAATGGATAAATTAATAGGTTATTTCAAGTCTGGCTACAGTCTACAAGGTATTTCAAAATTGAGAAAAAGATCACAGTTTAGATTGTGAATCATGCGATTAAATAGAAGGATGAGATATGATGCAAACATGTGTGATATTTATGTATGGGGACTTATTTTTTTTAGTTGCATCAGTTAAAAGTGGATAGAAAGTGGCTCAGACAGTATTAAGGATTAGACTGCCAGTAGAGCCACCAATTCCATAAATGCACTACAGAAATGTATTCTAAGGCAACGGTTCCAATATCTTTGGGTCATGACCCTTTAAAACAAAGAAAAATCCACTTTGCAACTCATCATCCTGTGTGTGTGTATGTGTGTGTGTGTGTGTGTGTGTGTGTGTGTGTGTGTGTGTGTGTGTGTGTGTGTGTGTGTGTGTGTATGGGCATATGAGTGTTATTTCCACTCTCGCTTTTATTTAAATATTAATAAAACAATTTGTTTTTGGCTCTTTGGATAAAAAGGTTTGGAACAAAAGGCATATTTTATATGAATTGCTCGAACGTTTCTTAAAAACAACAGTAATGGGGATAAATTCATCGACCTTTCAAACAACATGAGAAAACAACCTCACTGCAAGATTTATTTAGTGGCTGTACCGGAGCTTTAAATCATTACTTATCATATGTAGTGTTTACAAGGTCAAAACTAAATGTTGAACATCAAAAAAGTCAGTGCTCTGAACTGAACTCAATCAGCTGACGAAGACCATGTGATATGATGAAAAGCTCCAGAGCAGCTACTAAATGTACCTGGTGGAGAGATTGTTTTCTTAAATATTGGAGAACTTTCATTAGCATAATGTCCAAGAAAATGTCTCCAAGGAACAAGAGACTGCCTGCTTTTAACATAATGGAGAAAGAGGTTAATGCACTCTAAATGTTAATTAATCTAGCTGGTCATCAAACCCAACAGGAGGAATAAACTCTCACTCTTTCACTCCCTTCACTGCAGGAGAACTTGCTGTTTGCCTCCATCATCTCGGCCGTGGACCCTGTGGCTGCGCTGAATGTGTTTGAGGACATTGGAGTGAATGAACAGATGTATATAGTCATATTTGGAGAGGGCCTCTTCAACGATGCTGTCACTGTGGTGAGTACGGGGGGGCGTTTGTTTGTGTGGACTGTGTGAATCTATGAAAATAGATTGTTGTGCCAACCAGTCATAGAATAGTAATGAGCTGGGTGATATTCCTGCTCTTAGAGTTTCCCCTTCCAGTGACTTGAGTGCACATAATGAATGCCTCCAGGCTTTCATATTCACATTACTCATGACCCCATGTCAACCATTTATAGTTTAGAAAGCAAAGTGTTGGATTTTAGCCTAATCCTTCTTTATCAAACACAAGCCAAAAAGCTATATTCCTATATTTGTTGCAGTAAATTAGAGCCATTAAAAGCATGCCGAATTAGCTATTAGCACTTCCTATCTGCAATGTAACCACAGATGCACAGATAACTATCACTGGATTACTGGAAAACTTAAAAACGTGACGTTTCTAAGGCAAGTTCTGCAAATTTTAAGGAAGTTCGTATTTTCTATGACTACTAAGCAGATATATGAACATACACTTCCAGATATAATATTGTCCTCGGGTAAAAATATATGTATCATATCTGTGTGGTCGACCTCATGCAGTATCTTTGCCCGACTTCTCCCCCCTTGGTGCTCCTTCTACACCACAATTTGAAAGAGCCCCTGAACTCAAGGTAAAGATAGAAGCAGTCTGATATTGCTGTGGAGGGAACAAGGGAAAGCCTCAGAATGCAACATTGCATCAGTAAATTACACATTTCTGCAACCGTCACTTTGACAAGAAGCAGCTGGGGTTCTGTATATTTGTCTGTATTTGTGTATAACAGAGTTGCCTTGGGGGTTGACATAGACCGGATCTGTGTGCCCCTGTACCTTCCCCTCAGTCTAGTTTGTCCAGTTTTCTCATTGTAGAGGTTTAACTCAGTTTCACTTGAGAGGCGGGTTTCACTCAACCATTCCTGGCACTGATCGCCTTCAGTTGCATCCCAAAAGGCAACATGTCAGTATTGCCAGTCGAGTGACACAAATCATGTTGGGACATAACATTCAGAATTCACATTCAGAACATTCAGCCTGACACAAAGCAAACGTTTTAACAACAGTTTAATTGGAGCAGATTCTTGAGAGTGTTTGAGTAGTCGAACCTGCTTGGCTGCTGTTTGTGAACACCTGCTTACATGCAAGCAAATCCTGATGCAAACCCTGTGTCCAGCTTTGTTTCCTGTTCTTCTTTTTCTGTTTCTGTCTCTCTGCAGGCACTTTCCAGCATGTTTACCTTTCTAGCAGACATGCCCATTGTTGAATCCACTGATGTGTTTCTGGGAGTGGCCAGGTTCTTCGTGGTGGCGGCCGGAGGTGTCCTCTTTGGCCTTCTGTTTGGATTCGTGGCTGCGTTCACAACACGTTTCACCCACAATGTCCGCCAGATTGAGCCCCTCTTCGTCTTCATGTACAGCTACCTGGCTTACCTGGGGG